AACCCTGTGATATATGTTAGCTATGCGTAATTCGTTGCCATTTGCCAGTTTTAGGGAGATTACTTGGGTTTCAAGGTTCCCTACATTTGCTTCAATTTTTTTGGAGGTACAGCTGTCGTGGACAAGGGTGATTAGTCCTCCTCCCTTATTGCCTGGCATAAGTCTTTTTCTGTCTTTTCTATATTGGGTATACCCAGGTAGTGTGAATTTGGCTTTTTCACTGAGTTTAGTCTCCTGTATTAGAATGACATGAGGCTTGATCACCTTTTTTTTGACGAGTGCAGTCAGTTCATTGCCGTGGCTCTTAAGGCCATTTGCGTTCCACTGTAGTAAAAGCAAGTCCATGATAATTTATAGATGAGCGCTTATTGAGTTTTAGGGCATACCCTATTTAGGAACTGTTTCTTTGTTCCTTTGTATTTCATTATTTTGGAAGCCAGTTTGAGGATGCAGGTGGCTTTGGCTTTGACACTCATTTTTCTGCTTGTAATTTGGATCAATGCCGTGGCAATGAACTCTACAACTTTGTTTGTGTTCTGAGCCTTTTGTGTACCATGAGCTGGTGTTTTCTTTGCCTGACTGATTCGTTTGCTGTGTTCCTCAGTTTGAGGATTAGAAGGCATGGGGTTTGATTGGGAAGCTTGGGTCTTTTTTCCCTTGCGTTTTGCAGTGGCTTTGTGCCTGTGAGTAGGCGGATCAGTGCTCACAGTTTCGATTGTTTGCTCAGTGCTCACAGATTCCATTGTTTGCTCAGTAGAGTGATCAGTAGTCGCTTGGGTTTTTTCGACCTCAGTGGGTTGAATAGATTTGGATTCAGATTGCTGAGTAGGTATTTTATTTATACGTTTGCTGATGAGCAAGCGTTTAGGACATTTCGGCGCCAAGGATGAGTGACCCTCTTTCCTGCAGTTTGTGCACCATGTGTTGCAGTTTTCTTTGCAAGAAACTCGGGAACAGTTTTTGCACTTGGGTGGCTGGTTACATGATGTTTTTGTATGTCCATAGAGCATACAGTTTGTGCACTGGGTTGGCCTTTTCCTGTATGGCATGGTTTCTATGTCCTTGCCACCTAGATTAAGGTGGCCGGGGACTGACTGTCCAAGTAATGTGAGTATTACTACTCGTGTGTTGTTTGTGCCCATTGATTTGATCCTGAATGCCGACAGGATTGTAGGTTGAGTGACTTTCTTTTGGGCTTGACAGACAATTTGATAAAGCTCGTCGTCATTAATTTTTTTGTCTAGATGTACCGCACATCTGACATTGCTAAGCCACTTTGGGGTATCCCATTTTAGTTTGATCCTGTTTATGCTTTTGGGCATATCAATTGACTCTGTGAGGTTGTCCCCGACAACAACATACCCTCTTCCACACTTATTTATTCGAATAATATTTTTGTGCTTCAGCTCTTTGGCAATATCTTGAGCTGTTAGGATCTTATTAAGATCTTGGGAGAAGTCTGCGCTAAAGACTACTTTTTCCCATTTGGTTTGTGGTCTTCTATTTTGTTGTGTCTTTGATTCTGATGAGACCATTTTTTGTCGTTTCTGTACCATTTTAGCCTTAGGTGGGCTAGATTGAGGCTGTTTGCGTTTAAGCATGCCTTGAGCCCATAGGGCACTATAATCAATATTTTCTTTGTTTTTAGTTCCTGAGAACGTGAATCTATCCTGAAAACGGTCAGGGACATTTAGCGCGGCTTGACTATAAGTCAAGTTGGCTGTTTTTTTGGCAGTTTTTCTCGTGACCAGAGTGAAGGGATTCCCTTCATTTGGGTTGGGCTGACCCTTTCGAGAACTGGGCTGGTTCTCTTGAGAGTTGGGCGAACTCTCAACAATTGTAATTTCTGGACATAAGTCCGCCATCTCCATTTCCAAGTTCATATTTGTCAGTCCCAGGGGCCTGGGTGATTGACAGCCGTGCAGTTTAAGCTGGTGAGCGAACCGAGCTTGGTAGGCGCGGAGGGTTGTGTACAGTACGGGACCTGTGACACAACTGATGACCTGGGTGTTGTTGTTGTTGTTGCATTAGGTGTTTAAGAGGTCGCCTTCTGCCTAGGCAATTTCGGCTGACCTGTCCCTCTTTGGGACTCCTGTGTGTGAGAAGGGTTCACATATCTATTGTGAGTTCGGTGTTCACATAATTTCTGTTTTTGCATTGATATGATTTCTATTTTCTTATATTGATATGATTTCATTTTTATCCTTGGCTGCTCTGTTTATATACGTTCGAGCAGCTGTCCATCTCTCAGAAATAGAGTTAGTTTGGCCTTCGCTATTGCATCTCTTGGCTTTAGGAGATCTATGACAGATAGCGGATCTAACTGCAATTCTTGTTTTAACCTAGCCCGGGCCGGGGCATGGTCTTGACATTCTAGTAACAGGTGGTCAATGGTTTCAGCCTGATTGCAAGATGAACAAACCTTGTCATAGTGCTTTTTGTGACCAAGTCTGAGGCGTGAGATAGCAGTTTCAATTTTCCTTTCATTTGAGTATGAGTTTGGCTTTTGTTGGACCTTGGGTTGAATTTTGTATAGCCATCTGCCGATCTTACTTGCGTCCCATTGGGTTTGCCATCTTTTTGCTATGGAGGCTTTGATTTTGCTTTTTATCTCTAGTTTACTAAAGGGAATAGGCTGTATATCCGCTTTGTCTAGAGCTAGCTTCGCCAGTGAGTCTGCTTTTTCATTTCCATGAATATCTATGTGAGAGGGGATCCAACACAGCTCCACCTGTTGCCCTTGGTCCGATAGTTTTGTATATTCGTATAGAATATTGTTGACTGTGTTTGGCCTGGAGTTTGAGTTTCTTCCACAACTCTCAACAATTGTAATTTCTGGACATAAGTCCGCCATCTCCATTTCCAAGTTCATATTTGTCAGTCCCAGGGGCCTGGGTGATTGACAGCCGTGCAGTTTAAGCTGGTGAGCGAACCGAGCTTGGTAGGCGCGGAGGGTTGTGTACAGTACGGGACCTGTGACACAACTGATGACCTGGGTACTCAGCACTGCTATATATAGCTCGACGCAATTAAGAAACCGCAGTATCATGTCCCCCTCCCACACGCTGTGTCACGTGACCCAAACATTTCCCATTGTGAAATACAAACTTTCTAGATGCCTATGTCGTAAAGGTGGTGATATCAGCACTTTTTGATCGGGCTCAGTTGTATTCTACTGTTACTACGCTAAACTTTACACATGCCTGCATTTATTTATTCTTCTTGAAAATTCTGTTTATCATCGTTAGGGGTGCGATTTGTTGGCAAGGGTGCAGTCAAAGAGAAGTGGACGTTGTAAGGTGCGTTGTTGGGTATTCTATTTCTGCTATATTTTTTTCGTATAAAATAACTGGTTTATTTCACCGAGCCGATATTTTCAGGAGTGGTGAGCCACGTGTCGATTTTTCAGGTCTCGAAAAGAGAAAAAAATGAATATATTTGTATTAATTATGGTCTTATAGATTTCAATATGAATGATTTCCATGAAAATCTTAGTGTAATTGAGGCATATTCAAAGTAGTACCGTCATAAAGTGTTATTTCCCTCGAATGAAATATCGATTTCATATGTGCAGATTAATGAAATATTTCATCACTGGATGTATAATAAATTACTAATATATATGATGGTTTATATCGTATCATCATCTCCACGCCCATTTTGATATACGTATATTGGCCACGGCATTACTTATGATATCTTACCAAATGACACTGTTTAAACAAGGCATCCCGCAATCTTTATTCTCATGATAATTAACATACATTATTTAATCTATTTTATCACATTATCTATTTTATCACATGTATGGATCATTTAATACTGTGGTAGTTGTGGTTCCTATGTCCAATCCCTTTTTAACATAGTATAGTATGAAATTCATGTGCTATATTTTTCAGAAATAACAATGTATTAATCAGAATTAGTCAAGCAGAGAGTTCATGATTGTTCCCGTCCCTATTGACATACGTCAGTAACAAATATACTGATATAAGAAAGTATATACCTATGTTTAATGGTGGCAAAATATGAAACAAACGAGAAATGCTTAATCGATGGTGATGTATTTCATACGGGTATCATACCTAACCTTTGCGAGGGCTTCTGCGGGTGTTTTCAATCTCGTGACATTTCGATGTCATCCAATATTCAAGTGTATGTTTCTTTAGCCATGCATATAGTAAGTCTCTAAAGTTCCACACATCATGCAAATCCTTATTTCGTTGGTGAAAATTATTTCAAACTTTGAAAAGGTGAGTGAGTTGGGTTAAACGTCGCTTTGAACAGTAGTATTCCAGTTATATCACAGCGTGTCAGCTTAATGTGGGAGGAAAGCCCGAAGTGATGCAGGTCTCAGACGTTCACCACTTCGGTGAAACCCACGAGCACGAGTATGTTGCTGACAAACTTAGAAACATAATCGGGGAGAACCGGGATTCGAACCCACAATCATAGGTTTCTGGCGTGCCCAGGGGACGCAACTCTGCACAGCGAAACGCGGCGCCTCAGACGACTGGGCCACCCGTGCCCCCACTTTGAAAAGGCTATGTGAAAGTTCAAAGTAGCTTTACATCAGAGAGCTGACAATATGCATGCTAATTATGATATACATGTATTTGTGTAACTCTGTACTCTGATCTATTTCCCTCGTGTACAGTATCAGAGCCTTGAATTAATGTTTCATACAACATAACCGACGTACAATGTCAGTAAATATTCCAGAGGAGACTCTAGATCCTTCCTAAGAACTTTAACACTGTGGGGTGTTTCATACGGAAGAAATATTCACTGAGAATTTGCAAATCATCCATTTGTGACCAACTTTACAGTGTGACTTGCACAAAACCTGTTATTAACCTTGAAAATATTAACAATTCAGAATAGTTATTGCACAACAGTACCCATAATGCAACGGTGTCTTTATTCGCAATGACTCATTTTCACACGATAAAAGCTCACTGCTTTGCCGAGGCCAGTTCAAATTCGGAAACACTCGATAACTTCCGTGGCTCCGAGGTATGTATGATTGTACTTACTTCTTGTTTGTACATCTATATCTCGGATAACATGCTCACTGCTGAGTTAATTAAGAACTAGTAATGATATACGAAACGAGAATCATACACCTACATACTCTGTTATTTATCACTTAGGATGGTTAAACATTAGCAGATTTTGCCTGTGATTTAGATTGTTTTTTTAGTGGAACTGGTATCAAATGTTTAAATGATTTTGTCATACATGTTTAATTATTCAAATAAAAACTATAAAAGCATTTTGGGATTAAATAGTGTTTCAATACAACTGGCATACTTTCTATCTTGCAAATTATGTATGTCTTGGAAAGGAATACCGTTATATAGCTTATCAGCGTTGGGTGTGGGTGTGTTCGGCTTCTGCGGCGAGACGAATTAAAGAAGCATTGATCAGTTAAAACGAGTCCGCGTTTAAGATGCTAAATATAGGCTTAAGTGTTAGAATACTATATTTCTTGCTAATGGTAAGAAACAAGAGGCTCTATATATAAATCTCCCCAGCATGTTAACTGGGTTCACTGTTTGACAAACCCAGCACGATGTAACCACATGACACTGGGTGTTTTAAGTAGAATGTTGTGATGTGTTATTTTAGGACTGAAATTGCTGAGATTAAAATTTATAAATAACAACTATCCAATTTTAGAATATTATGTTTGCATGGAAATCAGCAGGTATGCGGTTTCATATTCATTTAATAATTAACAATAAACCACAATGTATGCGTTGTGAACAGATTTTCGTAAGAATAATTTAAATAATAAATATATTATTTATATAAAGATTTATTTCCATCATCCACCCATCTCATGTGGAAAATGAGAAAGAAAAAAACAGAAACATATAACATGCTGAACCTTAATACAAATTACACAAAATAATATTTGGTAAGATTATTATTCCGACCTTAAAATATTTTAAATGTCCCACGAGGTGATTTTATAGAACGGTGATCAGGCTCGGAGACTTGTTTGATTGCCTGTCAACGTTATATATAAAAAATGAACTGTACTTGCGCTTAATCAGCACTCAATTTAAACAAATATAATTTAATTCAAAATGTTAAAAGTTAATTATTTTTTCCGCATAATACGCAACAGCTGATTGGTATCTTAGACATCTTATCTTTGAAAATCGATAATTCTGCCTTTATCGCAAAATATTACACCATTTCTAAGTACTTTTTACAAACTGTTGCAGGAATTAATGATGATTAAATAGAAATAATCAAATTTAACAACAAACAAACTCGGTATACTTTCTTTTGTAACTATATCACGATATTGTTACAACGGATCATCACTATAGGATAACCTGTCTCCTCTCTGACCTGATACGCCCGTGAAGATGTGGGATAGAATTGGTCATCTTGTTCACAGACTTACACATAATTAGATTATTTTCCAGAAGTTAAAAGAAATGGGTCTTTTTACTCAATAAAAATTCCCTTACTGGTATCTTTTAAGTAAAATACAAAATACATGTGACTGGATGGTAGTTGTGAATATTGAAAAACAAAAATAGTCAACAATATAATGGCTTTTGTCATAAAAGCATTTATGTCGGTCTACAGCACATGATAACGACCCACGATATGCACGAAATCGTGACCGGTACCAATTTACCACAGAAATCCCACTTGGAACACACTAACGAAGCTGAACGATATATAATATAATTTCATTTGACTACTGACCTGTGAAGATTCCGGGGTAGAATAGTTCTTCAGCAACCCATGCTTGCCGTAAAGGGTGACTATGCTTGTCGTAAAAGGCGACTAACGGGATCGGGTGGTCAGGCTCGCTGACTTGGTTGATACATGTCATCAATCCCAATTGCGTGGATCGATGCTCATGATATTAATCACTGGATTGTCTGGTTCAGACTCGATTATTTACAGACCGCCGTCATATAGCTGGAATATTGCTGAGTGCGGCGTTAAACAACAAACCAACCAACCAATCATTTGACTACTCAGCTTTCGTCGTGATTTACTGACTGATGATTCAAACTAATTTCAATTTATATTGTTAAGAGCTCAGAAATGTAAAGAAGCTTAAAATATTAGAAAATTTGAACATAACCTTCAGCTGTGAACATATCTTATATGAAAGAATTTATGACTTTCAGCAATTGTGCTATTCTATAAGCAAATACCAATACGCGTCTTATTCATCACTGAGACCTACTCAGCATGAATTTGGAATTTAGTTAAATATAGGAAGTTTTTTTTGTAAAAATGTTTTATTAGAATATAAATTGACTATTTGAATCCTACAGCGTCGTGGGGTGTCGTGTTTGTAAATAAGCTCGGCGGGGCCTGCATCCAACGGAGCGTCCGCTGAGACAACTAACGAGCTATTTCAGTCTTCAGGGCATGCCCAGTTTGTCAGATTAACGGTTTTATTAAAACGGAATACATTTTTAATCCTATTGAGTGAAAGCGAACATGATGAGTTATATACTAAATATGGATTTGTATCTACAAATATAGTAAACAACGGTTATAGTTTACAGTATAATGTCAACTGTTTAATCCTTAGAAATATCGGGAAACTAGTAACACAGTGTTTGTTGGTTGTAGTTAGATTTGAGTTGGTTACTTTGGTTTAACGCGGATTTAAATAACATTTCGGTTTTATCAAGGCCAGTCAACTTGGCTTGAGAGGATTACGGGTGTGGTGCTGACAAAACTAGGAACAAAATGAGGGCGAATGGTTATTTTTTTGTAATCTTCACAAAGAATGACATTTACAACTTGCATTATATATAAAGCTCACTATACATTTGCATGAGGGGATGTGCTGAATGTATTAGTTGCAGGTTTGTACATGTATAGGACATTCGTTAGGTACACTGTAACTACACCGGACAATTTGTGTGCCATTTCACAAAAGAGACATTTACAAATTGCGTTTTAAATAAACAATTTGTAAACTAATTTTAATCTCCACAAAACTAGGATGATCTCATATTTCCTTATGAATAAATCTCATTTATGTTTCATATATATGTTTACAAGTCATGTACAGCGTGTGTGTGTGTGTGTGTGTGTGTGTGCGTGTGTGTGCGTGTGTGTGTGTGTGTCTGTGTGTGTGTGTCTGTGTGTGTGTGTTTGTGTGTGTTTGTGTTTGTGTGTGTGTGTGTGTGTTTGTGTGTGTGTGTGTGTGTGTGTGTTTGTGTCTGTGTGTGTTTGTGTTTGTGTGTGTGTGTTTGTGTGTGTGTGTGTTTGTGTGTGTTTGTGTGTGTGTGTGTTTGTCTGTGTGTGTGTCTGTGTGTTTGTGTGTGTGTGTCTGTGTGTGTGTCTGTGTGTGTGTGTGTGTGTGTGTGTGTGTGTGTGTGTGTGTGTGTGTGTGTGTGTGTGTGTGTGTGTGTGATGAGATAATCGGGTTCGGTTTCTGTATTTCAATATTTGTGTGTCACTTTGAAGCCCAAGGTGTTTCCTCAGAAAATAAAACTGGGCATTCACCTGATAAGGGCCAAGAAGTAGCTCTGAAACGTCGTGACAAAGAAAAAAGAAAGTGTCATGTATTCATGTTCTTCACACTTCTAAATGCCTAGCAGAGACTGGGTGTGAACTATTTGAAATGGCTTTTTAAAAACAGAACTGTTCATGTGAATAACTAAGAAATGCATAACTTACTTTCACAAAGATATATCTGCATGATTTGTGCGTACTTGCAAACACAAACCAATGTTGGAGCAGCGTGTTTATGCTGTTGAGATGTTTTCAATTTATTATTATTATTATTATTATTGCGCTTTTAAGTTTGTGATCACCGTACTATGTCTGTGTTACCTTTAACCATGGCAGAATATGTGTACAATGATCAAATAAATGACATGCTTTTTCACAGCAAAACTTAAACAGATAGTCATATGCCCTTCTAACAAGGGACATTCATACCAACCACCTTCATAATGTTTAACCGGGCCGTCACAAAATACTCTGTCGACTTATGTTAAAACCAAAATGTGCAGTGAGGTGGACCGATTGCGTCCTTGCGCCTTTCTTCTCGGTGTAAATGGATTATTCTGAAAAGATATGTTGAATGAATTCCCATTTATCATCGAACACTGCCCGTCTCCGTGATCAAATCGATCTCCCGTCAAAGGGCAAGGTCGATATGTTTCATGAACACCTATTCGACCCATAGACATCGGACAGTTTGCGCATACACACGTATGTCAATGTATTAATATTAATTGGCTGTGGTTCTTTAAAAGTGAATATGTTGACCTACTTTTGTACAAAAATCTGGAAGAACCGGATCTTTAATGGACTTCTTTAAAACTAATTTCATACCAATATATCCCTTCTAGCCAAAGTTCTAGATCAAACGTCGGCGTCTGTAACAAACCTACACACCAGCACGTGACCGACCCCAGACTGTGACTATACAAACACAAACGCCCTAGCCAGAGCGGTATTCCACAACCAATAGATAATCTGTTTCCGTCTAGCTCAACCGGGTCAGTTCGTCGTCGCTCGTACACAAGCTCGGACCTACAGTGTGTAGCGTTCTCCGTACAGTCTTCTCCGTACCCACTGTACTGTTACTGTTATTGATCGGGTGATTGGATTGCTGACTCACGTCAATGGCTGTCGGCACACAGAATCAGGTAGGTGTAGCAAGATTATACAAACCGGCAGTGAAATTAGAACCAGAGCATGATTTACGTAATGTCGGGTCAACTTGTATCCGAGCTCTCGGTTTGCGTTGTTATGGCGTATGACAACAAATCGTGCTGGTTGTGTGTGGGACGGTACTATAGTGTGTTATGATAGGACAATGTGATCACACAAGACTATAGATATCGTTCTTGTTGCTAGCCACAGCGACTGCCATGTTGTGCGACTGTTTGTGTGATAGGTCCACAACCATCCCTTTACACCAAACCCGATACCGCATCAAACACATCCTTGTGTACGTTACATAACTTCTGGTATACACACTCTACAAACAAGCGTATGGTACTCACTAAAACGACCATGTACTGTGTGAGTCTATGCATGGTTGTATGTCAAAGTTCATGTTCTCGTCATTATATAAATTGCACAATATTTGTGTGTACGTATCGGTAGTGTTGTAAAGTCAAGGGTATTTAATGGTGTCAATTTATCGATTGAAACTGAATTACGCGTAAAGCTATTTCTCGCGCTCGAGTGGGTCTGTCTCCAGTTTGCTAACATTAACAAGGCACATATTGGAAGATAAGCTTTTCAACCTCTGTTGTTTTCAATCGGGTTGGCTGCCTACCGCACATCATTGTCACACTGTAGCTACCGATCTGTCGTGACTTATTTATTATTAAAGTGAAAGTTGTTAATCTCCAAGTTGATATTGTTAGCAGCCGGATTGGAAATGTGTGTCACACCAGGAAGGATAGCACTCGATGTGGTCGTGACCTTTGAAAGGAGTCTCCGATATTTGTAACTGAGGCTAAACCTAAACCTGCCATGACCCGTATGTAATAAGAGACGATGTGCAGTGATGGTCGCGTGTGCAAGGTCGATCCTCAAACGGATAGTGGTTGTTAAGTGACCAAACAATCGATTGTATCCATGGGGACTTTGGGCCGTAAGCGCGTTTACGATAATGAAAATAACAATAAACATTCCCATCCGAACTAACGAATAATAATAATAATAATAATAATAACAACAACAACAACAACAACTATAAGAATGAAGGTACTACAACAACAAGAATAAAATACAACTACCGTTACTGAAGTAATAATAATAATAGCAATGATGATGGTGAAGATGCTGATTCGATTCCCCATATAGGTGCAGTGTGTGGAGCCCATTTCTGGTGTACCCGCCATGATATTTCTGGAATATTGCTAAAACGGCGTATAAGCATCCTCACTCATTGCTACTACTAAACATCTAAACAAACGTCGTTCATTGGGACTTCATGTGTACATCACCCGCCATTTGATACACATTGATATGATGCATGTGATATCGCATATGCTACCCGTATAGTATACGTCACCATTGACTAACTGTCTATTGTCTGTTTCATGTTTAGTCACCATCAACCATTTGTATATGCTTTTTCAATTTAATTTCAAAACAACAATGAAAACAATAATTATAACACCCAGTATGGTGTCCTTAATAATAAAGGTGAGGTGAGGTGAAATGGGGTTTAACGTCGCGTCCAAGATTATTGCACTTATATAGCGACGTGCATGTACGTGTTTGTGTGGCTGTTCGTACTAGTCCGGACTGATGCCGATTTATAGTGCTAGCTCACTGAGATACCATACCGCAGTTTAACATGAATACCCCACTCAGACACAGTATACTGACTCCGAGCCGACCAGTCCTTGTTTTAGCCCCTTAATCCTTTTAACGTCTTTTGGTATGATCCCCGGACCTTCCGCTCTTCGGGCGGACACTCTACCATTAGACCACGGAGGCGGTCCTTAATAATAAAGTCAATGACATACATTATAACCTTACTGAATGCCGGTATAAGCACAGCTTCCCTCTGCATTTCCCTCTACATTCTGCTACAAACGTTATATGAATATGTTGTTTGTTTGTTGTTTTACGCCGTACTCAGCAATATTACAGCTATATGACGATGCTCTTAATTAATCGAGTCCGGAGCAGACAATCAAGTGAGTGACATCATGAGCATCAATCTACGCAAACGGGATACTATATGACATGCATCAACCACGTCAGCGAGTCTGATCACCTGATCCCGTTAGTCGCCTCTTACGACAAGCTTAATCGCCTTTTACGGCACGCATGGGTTGCTGTAAACCTATTTTATCCCGGATCCTCACAGGTCTGCCATATATAGAAGATGAATATCACTCGTTACTCATTTGTAACAAATATCCAGTATTGCGACGTTTGTACGTTCAAGTAGTAGTACTAGCAGTAGCGAAACGGCGAGCCTGACCGCCCGACCCCGTTAGTCGCATCGTACGACAAGACCTATCAATTATGTAAACTAATAGAATATCCACATAAGGAGTGGGGATCGGGTTACTTTTATCACAGACTCCAATTAACCCCTGTTATGTAAAGTACAAAATATGAATTGTATGAGAATGGCACGCTGAGGCAATGTGATTAAATATTGGAATGACACATGAGGCCCAAACACAGGCCAAGAAAGGTAGTTATGAAAGCCAGCAAGCGTATTAAGAAGTGATCGTAATTTGCTTATTATGTTTTAAATAATTGTCTTCAACGCGTTTTCTTACAAACTGAGAAGTAAGACAATATTGCGTATGTCTTTATTTGTCTTTCAAGGTCACAGGCAGTTGTTATCAGTCGTTGAGGGGCTTATCTGTATTGCGAAATGTACTCAAGGGGGTTAAATGTCACGACGTATTTTGGCGTTTATTCTCAAAGTCCGGGAACCCTGTTCTGTGTTTTATGCTTTATTGATGACATGACAAGTATTGCTTTATGTCGATTCAGCATGTTTAAGGAAATGGAAAGGATAGAGTGAATAATAACTATTCTTAAAAAATTATACGTGCGTGTTGCGACAAGATTGCCCGTCAAGCGACGCTTATAGTTCTTTGTACCAAAATAGACGGAAAAGAAAACCAGGACCCGTAAACAACCTAAAATACGAGTTTATAAATGTTTACGTCGGTGTTAAAGGAGCTAATAAATGTGACATATATATGATCATTCTTCTCAACCATTGAATATTCAAGTTGAATGTTTTGAGTGGGGAAAGTGGATATTGTTAGGGTTAGTCTCATTATGTTTGATGACTAGTGTCGTTGTGAAAATAACGTTGGCATTTATTGACTGATCATAAAATTTGTATTTATTTAACTGTTTGCTGTTCCGCTGGGGGCTGTTCTTTAAGACAGATTTCGGAGAGGGTTTCAAGGAATAGTCCCTATCGCGTGAGTGATTAGAGTGAGTGAGTGTGTTAAAACTTAACGTCGCATCAGCATTATTTCAGCTATATAGCAACGAGAACAAGTTTATATATATACAATTTAGTCATGAATATAATGCTATATTTAAAAGCAAATTTGTCAAACATAATTTATCATTTCATTATTTACAACCGTTTAAAACACGGACTATAAGCCACTAGCAACCAAAGCTAGGCCACCACACTGGAGGTCATGCTTCCTGCAGGATTTACGTCATCACTTTAGCTACCGGTGGTTGTGCACAATACTTACTAATACTAAAAAAAAAAGCTCAACAATGAGTGGGGTAAAGTGGTAATTTTCCGTGGTTAGTTGTGCGTTGTTGCGCCCCATAGCCGTGCCAGTCACGTGTTTATTTGGCATGAAAGCTCGTGGCCCATAAACATGATATTTGCATAAATATATATACGAAATTTTAACACTTCATGGTAAATGTATAATTTTCAGTCTCTTATAGCTTTGGGACACGAATTAACAAAATGTTATGCATCATTAGCAATATTTCGCAATTTCCAGAGAATAGAATTTGAAATTTATGCACGGTTAGTTATTGACAATGAATTTTCTGTCAATAATATTCGCTAAGGTCACATTCTAGTTAAAGATTAAGACAAAATGTTATTCATCTTCTATTACAAGTTTGTGATAACTCTATTCCTTATAACCATCAGCCTTCGTTTACCTTCCGTTTTAACAATCCGGCTCTAAATCTAATAATGATGTTACAGTGTCTCTGACCAGAAACCTTTGATCGTAGATTTAATCCCTCATTATGATTCTGGGCTTGTGGGGTCATGGTGGCCACATGGCCCAGTGGCCTAATAGCCCAAGGCGCGACAACTTCTTGTGCGGAGTTGTGTCCCTTAGCCCTTCCGGGACCCGCTAATCTTGAGTTTGCATCCTAGATTCAACCCGATCATGATCATTGGCATATCAGCAGCCACATGGTCATGTGTCATGTGGTTAACATGTACGATCTGTTCGTTTCCCGGGTTTCCTCCCACGCCGTGATAAAAACGTACATGTTCATGTCGCTGAAACACTACCGAACTACCGAGACAAGGTCCCCGTACCACCCACCCACTGACAAAAACCCCAGCCATTACAAATGCTTTTAACCACTTTACATCAAAATAAATGTTTAGGATCCGGTGTACCCTCGTGTCTGAGATAGAGGGAAGTGTTCTGCAGCAGGGCACGTTCACAAAGTCGTGTATTTACATTTTGCTAATCTGAACTTCACGTGGGTCTGCGTGGGAACGAGACAGAAGTGAGCTACCATTCTGAACCAGTAGGCGTCCGCCTGGGCCGGTGTCGCAGGTCGACTTCACAATACTTTCGTATTTTATATTATTTATACAGTAAGTATAGGAAAAATGATAAGTTACTTGATATAGATAAAACAACAACAACAACAACAACAACAACAACAACAATAATAATAATAATTCATTTGTCAGATGATCCTCTTGTGAAGCATGTCAAGACTTATTATGAAAACAAGGCTTTCCACAGTTTTCTAAAACGAGGCAAGGATGTGGGACATAATCTCAATGTCAGTGTTGATTATGTTGGTGGTTCTGTACTGCTGGACGGTACAGAAATGAGTGTCAACCAAGCGAAGTGCCATATCAAATCGGCCCAGACTCAGTGTTTCAAGGAGAGGCTTTCTGAACGGCCACTGCATCGAATTTATGAGCAGTGTGTTCAGAAGGTCAGCAACCCCGCAGAGACCTTCGCTTGGATGAAGTCGGCTTGCCTGAAACAGGAAGTTTTCTGTTTGCTGCTCAGGACCAGTCACTTCCCACTCGAAACCGTCAAGGTGTGATTTCGCATCAGAATGTAAATATGAAATGTAGATTATGCAATGAATTTAATGAGACAGTCCAACAGATTGTCAGTGGATGCCCAGCTTTTGCACAAACACAGTATGTTAAGCGAAAGGATCTGATTACTGCCTTCGCCATGCTTGTGGTTTTGACACAGAGGTCCATCCATGGTACGACCCACAATATGTAGAGGGCGTCATGGAAAATGATAAATACAAGAATCTTTGAAATAGGCCCCAATACAGCCTCAAACCTATCCAAGCCAACAAACCTGACCATGGCAAATATACGGACCTCGCTTTCGAAATGTTGCGCTTGCATCTCAAGTACCAAGTTGTCCGACTCGTCATTGTTCTCGGTGCCTTAGGTTGGTTACCTCCCAATCTGTTGTCTGACACTGGGAGGGTAGGGTTTGCTGTCAGGTTATACAGCCTTTCTGACAATCTGGGTAATGCAGAAGGTGCCTTAGGTTGGTTACCTCCCAATCTGTTGTCTGACACTGGGAGAGTAGGGTTTGCTGTCAGGTTATACAGCCTTTCTGACAATCTGGGTAATGCAAAAAAGTTCTGGGTCCAAAAGGGCCCTGAGCTGATGATGAGCTTTACCAGCCTGACTATGCCAAGGTCACCCACACCCTCTTCGCTGCATTTATCTATTTTAATGTGTAAATAATAATAATAACAACAACAACAACAACAACAACAACAACAACAACAACAACAACAACAATACATAAAATGATTGGTTGGTTGGTTGGTTTGTTGTTTTACGCCGCACTCAGCAATATTCCAGCTATATGACGGCTGTCTGTAAATAATGGAGTCTGGACCAGACAATCCAGTGATTAATATCATGAGCATCGATCCACGCAATTTGGATCGATGACATGCATCAACCAAGTACATAAAATGAAGGCACACGGTCTTGCTATTTGAATGACTAAAATAAGAACCATTTTTTTCATTCTCGAATCACTTTAAAGGAGTATTACGGTCTGTAAAAGAAATCCAAAGTCGATCCTTATCTAATTGTTAATAGAAGCTGTCTCAGAGCCAGCACACAAACGTCAATCGGTTCATTTGGTTTGCTGATACACATAGACGCCGAGGTTAAATATATGCAGCAAACTGAACGAGACCGTGCTGTATCAATGCGCATGCACGGGGTTTGAGGATAAAGCTTGTGTTCGGGTAGCTTTTCCCTAGGTTACCAAAGTGTACCTAGCTCATGAAGCTTTACTATTTCTACCAGAACACCAGACATGCTCCGGCATACCAATGACCAATCATTCACCACGCATGTATTTGCTATGTATGTAAACCTGCGACCTTTAACACGTGTGTTTTTGTTTATTCCAGCCATCAACGAGTGCAAAGCGTGACATATGACATTTTGTTAACGCAGACCGTCGGGTGTAACATTTACCATTAACCTCACACTGTAATCAGGGAGGTTTGCGAGCTAGTAATCATCCAGCAGTTGAATCTCAACTCCTATCAGGACTTTGAGACTATTATTTTCCCGTGGCATCCGTTTACGACATATGATAGCAACTACAACATGTGACGTCACATTTGAAAACAGCCACGTCTTCACGGACATTGTTATATAAACCTCACTGTCAGACTAGACAGAATATAGTGTCAAGAGTAGACAGTATAGTGTCAAGAGTAGACAGTATAGTGTCAAGAGTAGACTATAGTGTTCCTGGTCCATACTGTAACTTGGGTCAAAGAACAGGCTCCGTCGAAAACGACGTCGGGTGACGTGAAGGCGACGTTTTTTTCTGTATTAACATCCGGTCAGACTTGACGTACCCGCCGGAAGTTGTTATTCAGCATATAAAACCAGTGACAAGTGATCTTGTGTGACATTTGTCTGAGTTGGGAAATCTCTAATACTATACCACTGACACTGACTGAGTCATCTCCTGTGTAACTGAATCTCAAGGACGTCTCATACATTATGTGGATGTGAAAACTGAAAAAGTTTCATTTTCTGCAACACTCGTGTCGTGTACCTCGAACAACTCGTGATTTGATTTCGATTCTAATTTCATCATCAACAATGTCACTTCAAACGACCAAGTTGTACAAGAGCATCATAAATGACGACCTGGACCAGATCGTACTCCAAATGCTTAACTATGTGCGTGGTGGGGGAGACATGAACGTGTGTGACGGCGTGACGGGAGAGACGTTCATGCACCACGTCATCAACCACGTTCACAAGTTCATGGACCCGAAGACGGTCTCTCTGTTGTATCTGCTGGCCTGTAAACCCATTGACCTGAACGCACAGGACTCGGATGGAAATACGGCCCTGCACAAGGTGGTCAGAAAGAAGGGAGCATACAGGGCAATGGTGGCCCTCATCAGGTGGGTGTGGTCTACAGGGAATGGGGAACAATAATAATAACAGTAATATTGATAGTAATATTAATAATGAGCACTTTAACAGCGAATTACGTTTAGGAGAATGTCCGAAATCTCGCGTTTATTTTCGCACGTGAAGCTTGTTCGAGGCTGTTAGGCTGAGAACAAGTTTTACGTGCGAAAATAATCGCGAGATTTCGGACTTTCTCCTACTTAAAACAAAGTTCCAATCAAGTTAATGCCTCAAACTAATCCTCAAGTGATATTCATTATACTATGCTATACTATGGGAGGGTGGCCGCTCTTGTTTAACTATGGGAGGGGAATCTTTCAAGGAAGACTATGGGACGATTTAGTACCAATACTCAAACTATTGGAGTGTTAGCAAAATGATTGCATCTATCCAACTGTCATTAAAGTTCACGTAACTTTGTTTTAATTCACACGACATGGCATTATTGTGATATTATCGTAAATGTGTGCAGCTCTTATTGCATTCTCAGCATCCTTGGGATATAGTGATTGTGCTAAGGACAAGACATATTTTACTTCCGGGAGTATATATTAGAAGTAGAATAATGGATAGGGTACAGAAGTCCACAGATGTTCATGCATTGGCAGCATATATGCATTTATGTCCTGACTAAAATAGTGTGGGAAAAGGCGTATGTGGTTTGACATTGAAAGTTAACTTCATTACATCCATATCACAACATCATATTGGGAACAAATTGATAACAAATACATGTAGTAGAACCCTTACTTGGGCGTCAGATTGAACTAGACGAAAAAATCAAAACGATATTAGGTGAGTGTTCCCACATTTATCATGGCTTAAATTCTGTATCTTCTGTCAGGTGTGGCGGTAGTATGGACGTGAAGAACAAGAAAGGCTACACCCCTGAGGACATTCTTCTGAAAGAGAAACCAGGCGGTTGGGAGGAAATGCTGCACTGGTACCGGAAGTTCAAACCAGGTTAGTTCCCCTTGTATGTCGTGGCATTTCGTCATCATTCTCCCCATTTAGGGTCTTGTCCAGGAATGGCACGTATGGTCGTGAATGACGCAATGGCAGCATTGTTTGTTTTATCTTTCTCAATTTAAAATTATTTCAGGCTTGTAATCAGTTAAACGACAGGCGCGGCTGCTATATCTAAATGTCATGAATGGAATATCTATTTTGACTAAAATGTCTACCAAAAAATTATTGTGGCATCTGCAGGTACTCTCATGAAGGCCAAACATCGGAAAAAAACAATTTTTAATAATTGGTACCCATCATTTTAAAAGATGAGGAAAGACACGGCATGTCCTGTTAGTTCTTCGCTTATAACACTCCTGTCACTTCAACCGACGAACACGTATTGAATTCAGTGTGTAAGGTCGATGGATTCAGCCATTAATATGTATTTGATGAAGATAAGTCCTAGAAAGGTTTTGGAAATTAGAACCTTTATGATCACCATCAAACAAAGCTGATGGATAAATCCATTTGTTTATCAGATCACCATGGAGATGAAAATGCTAATACGTATCGACTCGCCTTCTACTGACATGTCAGTACATGATTGTGTGTAGGCCCTCTTAACGTATGTGTTGTCTTGATCTAAAACAGACATTTCGCCTTAGGGGAAACGTGTGCAAAGTTGCGTCCCTTTGGCGTGCTAGGAACCTATGTTAGTGGGTTCAAATCCTCGTTCAACCTGATTATAGTTTCTGGGTTTGTCAGCACCATACCTATGCTCGGGTGTTTCACAGAGTGGTAAACGACTGCATCACTTCAGGCGTACCCTTATCAAGTTGACACGCCCTGGTGTAAGTGAAATATTATTCAAGAAAGTGTTAAACCAAACTCACTCACTCACCCAATCCGTCTTGTCAAGTGGTGTCAAGTTATAAGCCTTGAATAACATGAAATACAGAATACCTAAATGGGTACTTCAGTACTCCGTGCCAGTGCTAATGAACGACTTATTGATGTCTTCGACTATTAATAATTTGGAACGTGAAAAGATTATTCCATCATGGCTTAATAACATGGTGTTAAGTCTTAAACACGAGGGAAGTCACGTTATTATCTAGAAGGCTTAACGAAGGGAGATATTTGGTCTTCAGCAACCAACGCTTGTCGTAAGAGGCGATCGGGATCGGATGGCCAGGATCGCTGACTTGGTTGAGGTAGATCATTGTGTCCCAATTGCGTAGATCGACTCTCAAGATGTCGATCATTGGATTGGCTAGTCCGCTGTCATATTAGTGGAAAACTGTGTGCGGCATTAAACAACAAACAAACAATCCTGTGTCTGAGTGGGGTATTCATGTTAAACTACGGCATGGTATCTCAGTGAGCTAGCACCATAAATCGGCATAAGTCCCGACTAGTACAAGCAGCCACACACACACACACACGTGCATGCACGTCGCTATATAAGTGCAATAATCTTGGACGCGACGTTAAACCCAATTTCACCTCACTTAATCAGTTAGGAGGTTATAATGTCGGCCAAAAATATAACCATTATTTGTATCAATAACTTTCGAATTAGTTTAGTGTACGTTTGGAAACATGTCCTGATCGTAAAATAAAGTAAGGCAAACTAGTGCTGAGAGTGTGACTGATCTCGCTGGCTGAACTTTGTGAACAGATCAAAGAAGACTGAAAGGACAGCTGGCATTCAAGCAGGCAGTGCTATTTCTAGCCACGGTGTGTACAAACATGCCTCGCACATTCAAAGTGTGTCAATACCGCTGACCTGGGGGAAAACGATAAGGTATTAATGACTGCCGTGACCTAGATATGCGCTCAAGATACATTACCGTACTAATCCTATTATGTACACTTTTGGGGCAGGACTAGCCCAGTCATCGAAGGCGCTGCTATTTGCAGAGTTGCGTCCCTTTGGCTTACCAGAATCCTATGATCGTGGGTTTGAATCCCAGATTCGCTCTGATTAAGTTTGGGATTTTTTCAGTCCCATGCTTCTGGGTTTTGCGAACACACTGATTTTCAGTGATCTTTTTTAATTGTGCCAAAAGAAACTTTTAGCCGGATGATCGAGACCGGTTATTCTCTGGCGTTGGCGCTTTACATAGTTGTAAAGGTCCTAGACCTGCGTCATTAAGAGATTTATCCACCACGCCAACCTGCCACACTGTGATATAACTGAATAAGTGTTCAAACCAAACCCCCACCCCTTGTATATAATATTGATTCCTTTACTTACGCATTATCAGACGCGTCAACATCCGGGGTAGAATAGGTCTTCGGCAATCCATGCTTGCTGTAACAGGCGACTATGCTTGTAAGGGGCGACTAACATGATCGGGTGGTCAGGCTCGCTGACTTGGTGGATGCATGTCATTGTATCCTAATTGCGTGAATCGATGCTCATGATATCAATCACTGGATTGTCTGGTTCAGACTCGATTATTTACAGACCGCCGTCATTAAGCTAGAATATTGCTGAGTGTGGCGTTAAACAACAAACAAACAAACACAATGGGCGTAACTTCCGCCTAAGTTAACCTTAATTATAACTGAGTAGTTAAGGTTAACTTTAGTATGTGTGTGTGTGTGTGTGTGTGTGTGTGTGTGTGTGTGTGTGTGTGTGATGGGGTGGGGTGGGGTGTGTCGGTGGGGGTGGAGTGATTACGTGGGGGATGTAAAGGAAATATATAAAATACAGGACCTTTTCTTTAACGTCACTTTCATTAACTCGGAAACAACGTGATGGTTTTTGCTTCGAAGCGGGGTATAAGGGATTTATCCCCCCGCTCAGAAATATATTACCCTCACAGGCGAATGCGTATCATCACGTGAAATAATCAGATCTCAACATTCTGACATGGAAGTAAGATAAGATTATTTACAGGCCATAGTGTTCGAATATCGATGACCTCCTAACAACAGTCGCTGACTCATTAACTATTTGTTAACATGCGTTCGGAGATGACTTCGGCGTAAAACAATATTAACTCACTCACTCACACACCTAATGAAACGTTGTTCCTCCAGGCCTTTGGGCAGCAGTGTTTGCCCCGAATCCAGACAAACGTGTCATAGAGCGCCTGCTGAAGTCGTGGTGTCGGGTGACGGTGTTTAAGAATGGTAAAGTGACCAACATGAAGTGTCTTGCACACGCTAAGGCTGGACAGCTGGGCATCGTCTATCTGCTTGAGAAATATGAAAACACCATAGAGTTTGCCCTTGGGGTAATGGCGGCGGTACAGAGACTGTGTGGGATGTGGAAGGATCTCGGTAAGTGTCATCTCAAGGCTGTTTTTAGTCTGTCTTACAGACCCTGATACAAATATATATCAAATACAGCCCATGCAAGTCTATAATGTTTGGCAAGTCTAGATCACTGCAGTATCAGGAAATCTGAAAATGAAGAGAGTCACTGGGCTCCTTTTTATTATATTTTTATTAAGATAACTGAACAACTGTTTTTTTATGTACGATATGTTCATTTCAGAGACTAGATGTCAGTCTAGGCTGTTTTGATCGGTTCACACAACAAAGATTCATTTAGTGAGCAAATGCGTCTCTTCTACATGCACGGTTGGGTAGCAATGTGGTTAATCCGTTCGCTCTTCACGCCAACGACCAATCTTCAATTCCTTAGTTGTCAACAATGCGATCAGTCTCCTGTGATATGGGCAAACTATTAAAGAAACGCGATCACGATATCCAGTTCGTGACTGTAACAGGCCGCGCCCTCTCCATATTGAAAATAATTATTATTTGTTCCTAAAAATACTGGAAAATAAATTTGGTCTCGTGGTTTCGTAAACACATGGGCCAACTTGCACAATGCGATCTTAACTCTAAGACTATTGTAAGCCTATGTTAAAGTATGGGAGTTACGATTATCTTAGCGCTAAAATCGCTTTGTGCAAGTGGGCCCTGGTGTTCTCACGTATTATCGTGATCACGTGATCCATTCATTATCATTTTCACCTCTGTTTTGCCTGTTATGCCAAATGGAATCTGTATTTGCGGATGATCGAGATTGGATATTCTCTGACGTTGACATTTTTTCCTATCAAATATATTGTTGTTGTCCCCCAAAATCGTTCGCCCCCTTCTTTTGCATGTCTTGAAACGCAGACGGAATAATATCCTATCTTCGACAAAAATTCCAGCCCACTCCCAAAATGATCGGCCAAGAACCATCTCTTCTGTCCATCCTAAAACCATAAACTTTTCTGCAGGTTTTGACAGAAACACCGTTGACGTGAACACAAAGGACCACTCGTACCAGTTCTCGTACCCAGACTTCCCTGAGGAACCACAGCCATTGTTGGCAGCAGCTTGGGAGAAAGACGTGTTTGAGGTGTTGGAATTCGTGATGACGTTCAAACCAGACACCAACGTTCTGTACGCTCCCATCTCAGACCCACAGATGTCGCCCAATCCACTCTTTTTTCATGTAATGTATTTATTTCATCGGGTATCTAAAATATATGTTTTCGTTCTTTGTTTCGTAAGGAATCTGAAATACATCTGCAAAAATAGTTTTCTTTACTCTGTTTACTCTGCTTATCCGAGTTTCGATACAAGCGGTTTTATACTTATTGTTTAGGGAGAAGATTTTATTCTACATAATTTCAGTTGTTTGTGAATGCTGCATATGTCCATCCTCACACGTAATATATTCAATATATACCAGAAAAAAAACAAGCTTAAGTTAATGCGTTTATTTTACAGAAATATCCACTGAAAACACCGTCTTCGTGTACATATCTCTACATGCTTTATGCATGTTTAATTACGTGTTCACATCGGCATATTGCTTTATTTCATGGTTAGGTGAGCTGTGGCTGCTTTTACTAGTCCGAACTAATGCCGATTTTACAGTGCTAGCCCACTGAAATACCATGCCGCAGTTTAACATGAATACCCCACTCCGTGCCGACCAGTCCTTGTTTTAGCCCCTTAATGCCCAGTGGCACTCAGGGTAACAACAAGTACCGTCTTTTGGTATAACGCGGCCGGGGATCGAACCCCGAACCTTCCGCTCACTGGGCGGACGCTCTACCACTAGACCACGGAGGCGGTCTTCATGGTGTGGAAATGTATAATTGTATACGTATTTTTCGTATTTTAAATAATATATAATTATTTTATCCGTCTATATGTTACTCACTATATAACACATGAGACGTGTCACCTTTCAATTTTTTCTCTTTCATCCGTTGTGGCACGGATGGCTTTCTTTTTGCGTGCCATAAAACCTATCATTGATCTTGGGTTCGAATCCCGGATTGTCTGATAACCTTTGTATGTTTGTTGGCATCATATCCATGCGCTTTGGTTTCGCCAAAGCGGTAAACATCTACTCTGCATCACTTAGCTTTCTCCCACACCAAGGAAGCGCGTGGTGAAATACTGTTCAAATCGGAATCAAAACCCAACTTACTCACTCTTCTCTCAGTGTGTATTTATGACAATTTTCCTTTGTTTAGATGTTCTCCGGACCGGGCGGACCAAAAGATGAGCGGATAGTGCACTGTGTTCTGAAAAACTCTGACTTGACCGCTAGGGGGCGCCAAGGAGGCACAGTTCTGTTGACCGCCATAACGTCCAACCAACCGGAACACATTATCAGAGCGTTGTTCGACTACGGTGTTAACGTAGCATCGCGTGCACGTTGTGGACGTACAGTACGTGACATTGCCCAGGGAATGGGGAAATCCAATTATGTGCAGATGATTGACGACCATGTGATCGACATTATAAATACCTGTGACATTGAACGTCTGGAGACTATGATCCTTCAAGCGTATGACCACATTCTAGACATCACGGACGAGAAGGGGAGGAATGCTCTTCAGCTTGCTCGGAAACAAGACTCAAAGCAGTTGGTGACCATCCTACAAAACATTGTCGCGACTCAGGTAGGTCAATTTCTACTTTCGGTTTGGCCGCCGGAATAATCTACTTACGTAGATTGCATTGTGGGACCAGTCATCTAACCCGTGAAGATCGGGGTTAGAATTCGTCTTTAGCAACCCATGCTTGCCGAAAAAGGCGACTATGCTTGTCGGAAGAGGCGACTAACGGGTGGTCAGGCTCACTGACTGGGTTGATCCGGGGTAGAATAGGTCTTCGGCAATCCATGCTTGCTGTAACAGGCGACTATGCTTGTAAGGGGCGACTAACATGATCGGGTGGTCAGGCTCGCTGACTTGGTGGATGCATGTCATTGTTTCACAATTGTGTGGATCGATGCTCGTGATATCTATCACTGGATTGTCTGGTCCAGACTCGATTATTTACAGACCGCCCCCCATTTTGCTTGAATACTGCTGAGTGCAGCGACAACAAACAAAGAAACAAACTAACAAAACCAATTATCTATGGCTGGTGGCCCAGTTGTCTAAGTCCCAGCAATTCGCGTTGCAGTGTTGTCTCCCTTAGGCTTGTCAGGATCCGATAGTCATGTTTTTGTTTGTTTTAAACACATCTTATTATCAGAATAGTGAAACGGATAAGGCACACGTTGTCCGACTTAGAACACACTCAGGTAATACAGATAGAGGGAGGGGATAGGAGAGCGGAAGGAAATAATTACGAGTGTACGTGTGTCAATTTTGACAAGTATAGAGCTGGGTTACCTGTAGATTTAACCGCGCTAAATTAATCATTTGAAACCTCACGCTGCACCTTCTCGGTGCAAAACACGGTTAAATAAACAGGTAACCTAGCTTTGAGTTACATACAAACACAAACTCATTTCGGCCAACTACCAGCCGCAGATCCAAATTAACCTGGATTCATGCATAGTATTACTAATATATCGCAACGTGATGGTTCGTAAAGGAACATGACGGTACAAATGTAGCGTTCGAAGCCTCTCGGTACAGTGTTGGTTGTTTATGTATTTTGTGACAAAGGCTTTTCTCTGATGGACACACACACACACAAGCTTATTTGTGAACGGTCGACGGTTATAGGACTATGTGTAGAATATGGATCAAAGTGACGTGTTGTCCTTTCTGTCTGTATTCGAATGGGAGTCATTCTCCGTCGTGCTTGAGTGCATGCGTATTCACCACTTATGTGAAACGCGTGGGTGACAAAGGGAGGACCGATTGAGGACATTTCGGAAAGTCGGAATCGTACAATCGACTCCCTGACTTGCAGATATTTCTTTTGACTATGGAAAGTGTTTTTTTAATATTATTATTATTTTTTATATTATTATTATTATTATCATCATCATCATCATCATCATCATCATCATCATCATCATCATCATTATTATTAAAAATCAATTTAAGTGATTTTGTTTTTAATTTGGAACAGAGTCAATTTATATGTTTATTTACGTTAAAAAAGATAGGTGCATGTACGCCTACCAATGAACGTCTGGGTGTGTATTTGAGTGAAGACTAAATATGTGAGTTGGTACTTAGTGTCTTGTTTTTTTACAATTTGGCTTTTATCCCACCATTAGCGCTATTCTAGGAAAATGTCACGAAGGATGAACACCAAATATGGGCTTCACATCCATTGTGTAGTTCAAAGCACACCAGGATCTGGATTAAAAATTGGAAACTTTCGTTTCTCTTTGTGGCGTCGCTCTAACCACATCCGCACTCTCTGTTGCCACTACTCAGCTTACATCCCTTATGAACCAATGACATGAAAAAGAATATTTTCCATAAATCAAAGAACTAATTATTTCCTTTGGACCGAGTTTATTTTAGCTTTCTGTACACCTTTTAATATGTCACCACCATGCCAGAAAGCCATTCCTTTAATGCGCATTCTCTGTTGCCTTTGTTTACATCCTTTATGAACCAATTATACTACTCAAAATAAGTTAAAGACCACCCGATAATTTCATTTGCTGGTCACCCGTGAAGATCCGGGGTAGAATAGGTCTTCGGTAGCACGGGTGGCCCAGTCGTCTAAGGCGCCGCGATTCGCTGTGCAGAGTTGCGTCCCTTGGTCACGCCAGAAATCTATGATTGTGGGTTCGAATCCCGGTTCGCCCCGATTATGTTTCTAGGTTTGTCAGCACCATACCCGTGCCCGTGGGTTTCACCGAAGTGGTAAACGTCTGTGACCTGCATCACTTCGGGCTTTCCTCCCACATTAAGCTGACACGCCGCGATATAACTGGAATACTGTTAAAAGCGGCGTTAAACCCAACTCACTCACTCACTAGAATAGGTCTTCAGCAACCTATGCTTGCCGTAAAAGGTGACTATGTTTGTCACAAGAGGCGACTAACAGTATCGGTCGGTCAGGAACGCTGACTTCGTTGATGCCTGTCATCGTATCCCAATTGCGTGGACCGATGCTCATGATATCAATCACTTGTTTGTCTGGTCCAGAGTCGATTATTTACAGACTGTCGTCAAATAGCTGGAATATTGCTGAGTGCGGAGTTAACCAACAAACACACAAATATTTCCATGATTCTCTTTGAAAGTCACTACATCAGCAGCCATGTTAATATTCGTCACTACTCTGAACAGGATAATGCCAAGAAGGTATTCCTGGCCATCGACAGAGGCAACAAGCCCATGGTAAAGAAGTTGTTGACGAAGAAGTATGCCAACGCCCTGGACAGATGCAGTCGGACCGTGCTTCACCACGCCCTGCTGCACCGTCAGGCAGACATTGTCCGCACCCTCCTTGAGGACTACCCCCAGCTCATCAATAAGTTTGATTGTGTAAGTGTATAACTGTATGTAGAACTTGTCATGATGTGAATGCCTGTTATCGGTCGAAGATAAATGTATGTAAGTATCGAAACATTCATGTTGAGTTCCTAAACGATGTTTAAGGTTATACGGTTGTACATAAAAGTGATTATTATGCCTCAAAGTGAGATTGACCAATCAGAGATCAGAACTACTGACCCCACATAAGCCCGTATACCGTCAGTAAAAATCCAAGATGGTTGTTACTGACCTAATATGAGACCGTATACCATCAGTAACAGCCATTAAGAATTTTCCAACACCCACCTCATATATTTCACATGGAAATTCTGGTACACGCCTCGCCCAATATTTTGCTGCTAACCTAATATGAAGGGTTTCACGTCGCATACCCAATGTAGGCCGTTCTACAAACACGGGTGGTCCAGTCGTCGAAGGCACCGCGATTCGCTGTGCAGAGTTGCGTCCCTTGGACACGCCAGAAACCTATGATTGTGGGTTCGAATCCTGGTTCCGATTTTCTTTCTAGGTTTGTCAGCACCATACCCGTGCTCGTTGGTTTCACCGAAGTGGTAGACGTCTGAGACCTGCATCACTTCGGGCTTTCCTCCCACATTAAGCTGACACGCCGTGATATAACTGGAATACTGTTAGAAGCGGCGTTAAACCTAACTCACTCACTGTACTTATTGCAGTTGTAACTCTACGTGTCATGGACAGAATACCCACCCTTATTGTATACAGACTAGAGGCATACACGATGATGGATGTGTCGATATTTTCACTTTGTGTCATCAATTTCACGCATCGGCGCGCAATATGGATTCATGTAGGATGTTTCCGTCAACTAGTGCCTGGATGTGAAACAACTTCCTCATTGTCAATACATTTGTACTTGACAAGCGGGGACATTCTTTATCACGGAAGTGATTTGTCGCTTGTGGGTGTCGAGAGAAGATGTGAAAATTCATTATTATAATAACTAGAACAATTGTTGTACTATATAAAACAGGTTTGTGATAATAAGAATTTTTGATGGATGACACACCAACACCATCAAAAACAAGGACTACTGATACTACTATTACTACTGCTGCTGCTGCTGCTGCTGCTGCTGCTACTGCTACGGCTACTACCCCAGCTGCCTCGTGAAGATCTGGGTTGAAAAAGGCCTTCAGCAACCCGTGCTTGCCATAAGGGGCAACTATGCTTGTCGTAAGATGCAACTATGCTTGTCGTAAGATGCAACTATGCTTGCCGTAAGATACAACTATGATTGTATGGACACTGTTTTTGTCGGCATTCTGCTTGTCTCAAAGTACGAGTTCGACCTAACGAAGTGTCACCGTACGTACATAGTTAATGGCGTCTAATGTTGATGTGTATGTTGTAGATGGGCCGCACACCTCTCCACTACGCCAATCTCTTCATGGACCAAGATACTATTGGTTTTCTGCTGAAGAAAGGCGCAAACGAGAACACAAAAGATACTGTAAGTACGGGCAATACGGTAATTAAAGCAAACATGCCCTAAACACTAATACAAACAGTGACCTTTGAGCTGGATCATTGCCCTACATATACAAGTATTTTGCTTATCGGGTAGTTCATAAGCATTCAGTACTTCACAGGTACAGGTGTATAGGTTTCGAGTGAATTATAGTTTTATAGTTTTTTTTCTTGGCTAATTCACACTCCTTCATCGAATGAACTATGACAGGTGAAATTCATATTTTTATATTGCGTCCCTAAGTTTTATGTATGATTTCCACCCACGTCAAGATCCGGGTTACAATGGATCTTTAGCAACCCATGCTTGTCGTAAGGGGCGACTAACGGTTGGTAGGCTCGCTGACTTGGTTGATGCATAGCGTATCTCATTTGGGTAGGTCGATGATCATGATGTCAGTTACTTGATTGTCTGGTCCATACCCGATTATTTTATGACCGCAATCATATAGCTGGAGTAATGTTGGATTAGACACACAAAAATATACAAAAAAGACACAAATATTTATGATTTCCACACATGATTGATGGATGCACGTCATCGTATACCAATTGCGTGGATCGATGCTCATGATGTCAATCACTGGATTGTCTTGTCCAGACTCAATTATTTAAAGACCGCCGTCATTTAGCTGGAATATTGCTGAGTGCGGCGTTAAACAACATGAAAGCAACAACTTGCCGCCCCCTGTATTAAATGTTTGTATCTGTGTTACAGCAAGGTTTGACCCCCCGGGACTACAGTAAAATTGCGTGCAGCCCCCACGAGTTCCAGGTGCGACAAGCCGATGTTGAGGATTTCGACCTGGAAATATTTCTAGGAATGACCAACTTCTTCGACACTTTCTACCACGCGTGCAGGGTCAGTATTCGGAAGCCTCACAATACAAACCAGAGCAAATTGCAACGTCATTGAAAACAATGTATTTAAGTGTGTGTATAAACAGGGCTGGATTTAGCTATAGAAAACTAGCACTATTGCAACCTATTATTGAACAACCTAATATTTATGTCTACATGTGTGATGAAAATAATTCATGTTTGTGTCCACGCAAAACTGTTCTTGGAAAACACTTAGTACTTCTAAAGTTGATTTACCATAACACATCACTAATCCCCGTGTTATGTGTAATTTGTCATGCTTTCTTGGGTTTGACGTAACCAAACTGTGCGTACTTCAAGATGTGCACGTTCCTATTACGTTTCCAGTAATGCATAACTAATGTATGTGACACTGGCAGCAAACCGACCAATGTTTCAACTTTTATAAAATTATGGGACCAGGGTGCAGTCTTGTTTTATTTTTGTGCAACTTCGTTTTCATGTCAACGTGGACCTAGTGCAAGTTAAATCTAGTCCCTTAACTCAGGCCCCGGTGTAACACGAAGGGATAGGGAAATGAGGTGTCACATACTATCTATTTGACTGACAAAGAGGATCGAATGTGTCTTGGCAGATTGCCTGTAATTGTGCCCGACGGTGTGGAGGGATCTTTGCTCATACTTACATTCACCCGTTTGTCTGGTACAGACTTGATTATGTAAAGTCTTGTTGAGCACGGCGTAAAACTACATTCACTCATCCATTTCCACCTTAAGTAATGTTAAGAGGCTTCTTCTCAGCACACCCGACATGGACGGTGTGACCACTAAATTGAAATGTGTAGCCTTGGATAGTTTATACTCTGTCCAGAAATTAGAAAAATTAGAAAATATTTTCGAAGGAAATATAAGTTATCTCATGTAATTAGGGGACAGTTACGTTGACTCATATATCGCTTTTGGCGTCTGCAGACCGGCGACTTGACGACGGTGAAGAACCTAACGCTTGGTCTGAACGAACACGGTGCCCAGCATAGGTTCAGCAACGCTTTGTTTGATTGTTTGGACCATCGCCAGTATAAGGTGGCAGAGTTCCTCGTCAAGAATGGCTTCAGTACAGACGTCTGGAAACAGGTACAGTAAACATATATTATAAGTGTGGAAACAGGTACACTAAACACATTATAAGTGTGGAAACAGGTATACTAATCACATTATTAGTGTGGAAACAGGTACACTAAACACATTATTAGTGTGGAAACAGGTACACTAAACCATTGTTATTAGTGTGGAAACAAGTACACTTAATATACATTATTAGTGTGGAAACAGGTATACTAATCATACATTATAAGGGTGGAAACAGGTACACTTAACATACATTATTAGTGTGAAAACAGGTACACTAAACACATTATTAGTGTGGAAACAGGTATACTAAACACATTATTAGTGGGGAAACGGATACACTAAACATACATTATTAGTGGGGAAACAGGTACACTAAACATACATTATTAGTGTGGAAACAGGTACACTAAACACATTATTAGTGCGGAAACAGGTACACCAAACATACATTATTAGTGGGGAAACAGGTACACTAAACATACATTATTAGTGTGGAAACAGGTACACTAAACATACATTATTAGTGTGGAAACAGGTACACTAAACATACATTATTAGTTGGGAAACAGGTACACTAAACATACATTATTAGTGTGGAAACAGGTACACTAAACATACATTATTAGCGTGGAAAGAGGTACACTAACATACATTATTAGTGTGGAAACAGGTACACTTAACATACATTATTAGTGTGGAAACAGGTACACTTAACATACATTATTAGTGTGGAAACAGGTACACTAAACATACATTATTAGCGGTAAACAGGTACACTAAACATAAATTATTAGTGGGGAAACGGGTACACTAAACATACATTATTAGTGGGGAAACAGGTACACTAAACATACATTATTAGTGTGGAAACAGGTACACTAAACATACATTATTAGTGGGGAAACAGGTACACTAGACATACATTATTATTTGGGAAACAGGTACACTTAACAAACGTTAGTCAATAGCTCCTGCAGATTGTTGACACTAGACGCCCGTGGCCATAACATGTGCAAAGGGATTTGAAATTTAGAAAAGAGACACTGATGCCGTTACCGTATCTTTCACAAGAAAAAAACATTCTGTAGACTTCCTCAACTAATGCAAATACTATAAATATATAGTGTATGAAGTGTTCGCTCGTCACGACGAAGACCCGTGTTCGATTCCCAACATGAGTAAAAATGTATTAAGCCCATTCTCGTGTCCCCCCGAGTGATGCTGCTTGAATGTTGCTAAAGGCGGCGTAATACTATACTCACTCTACCCATTGTCCTTTGTATGTCCAGTATGAAGAATGTGACCCCGATGACCCCATGTGCTCGATGATGGAATGTAGTCACACGGTAGTGACACTCCGGCAACGAGCTGTCAACGTGGGTGCCAAGGACATCGTCATGCTCATTGACAACGTCGCCAGCGGAAAGGTACACAACATTTATAATACATAAGAAGTCCCTGGACTTAATTGCTTTCCTTCTCAAAATACTGGGGCGGTCGGCTAGCCTAGTGGTTAAAGCGTTCGCTCGTCACGCCGAAAACCCGGGTTCGATTCCCGACATGGGTACAATGTGTGAAGCCCATTTCTGGTGTCCCCGCCGTGATGTTGCTGGAATATTGCTAAAAGCGGCGTAAAACCATACTCACTCACTCTCAAAATACTATTGTCAAAATATGCATTAAATGCTAAAATCAATTCGTGTTACAAAAACATACCAGATGCAAACTTGTTATTATCAATATGATTATTATCGTAATGATAATGATTATTATTATTGTTATTATTATACTCTCAGTTTATTTATTTTTATCATTTACTCAATTTGCAATGAAATTGAATTAATTTAAACTCAGAAACTCATATCATTTTAAGAGAGGTCACATATATTCACATTTAATTTAAATAGTCCTAGTTAATAATAAATATTGTTTATTTCAGTTGAAAACATTGAAGCCCTCGACAGTGTTCCACTGTGAAATTGTTCGTGTGTGACGTCGTAACATTATTCTTCATATATATCTGTTCACGTGTACTTGTGTCAAAACTCCCTCTGTGCGACGGTGTAACATATGATGTTCTAAGTCTTTACGGGGGCTAGCATTGTTTTAGGTTGATCGTGTCAAGATCACAAATGTTTCACAAGAGTTGTATGCATACGTTATTTGATAACATAATATGTTTGCGCAATATGTACTACTGGGGACGTGACTGTGCATACATACTTTTGATATTCGAAAGCAAATGTTTTTTTGGTCATAAATATTGGCTTTAAGAAAGTGTTTCCCCTCCAACTGTAAGCTAGAATACATTTCTGATGGAATTAACAATTAAATGAAAGGACATACTTCCTTTTATGTCATATAACTTACATCGAGTCCCTCGCGCGTTATTTGAAAATATGTTAGGGAAAAAGGCCGATTTGTTCAACTTCAAGAAAATATCTGCCTATGTGAAAGTCCGTTGTTTACGATATCTTTTACCGTAAGTGTGTACTGTCCATATCTACATCTCCATCCAAATTCAGTTTGCGTCAAAGAATTGCTCATGTTTAAAGATTAGACACACGCTTCCTAAAAGCCTCATCTTTTCTATTACACATTTTCAATCTACATTCGGTTTTGTATACGTCCAAAACATGCAGGTGATGCAAGGAACAAGGTTTCATTCACATTCGTATAAATATTTGATAAAATTTATAACGTCATATTCCCATTGATCTACACGAACCTTTACCATACAATGTCCTTTTTACAATTTTAAGCGTATAGGCCATAACATGTGAATTTCTAATTATTATTTAAAATGAAAATCATGAAAATGCTTATCAGATACCAGTACGGATACATTTCTGGAAGAAGAGGGGAAATTTGGGTAATCAAAATCTACAAATCTAACTGTTATCAAAAATAATATATGCACAGTTACTTTGTCCAACATTGTATATAAGTCTACCCACTTGTGTTACATATTAGTCTTAGATGTACCAACACTTGAACCTGTGATGTCATTCGGGTGTGTCATGCCCCTGTCTTACTTCATCATCAACAACAAACAATGTAGATCAAGGATATTATGTTAAATATGTCTCCACAGAAATGCTTTTAGATCATTTTCAGGTGCTAAGTTGACATTGTATCCAAAAGCAATTTGGGAGCTCATCTAGTTTTAATTTCAAAATCCTTGAATGTGTGAACCAAAATCCGCCCAGCAGGCCATCTCTTAACACAGGCATGTGATAAAAAATATAATTTTTGAAAGAGACTGTTATACATGAACATTTTTAATTTTCCTTTGTCTATATTGTAGTGTAGATATGTTTTGAAATATGTATCATGGCGTCAGAGGCACGCCGTTTTATAACTGCCATTGTTGATTACTGGTTCATATATATATGCACATGTACTGATGACCTTGAAGGTACTTACTGGAAACATGCAAGCTTTACTTTGTCAGGAATGGGAACCCGTTACAGCTGTTCATTTGACCAGTCGCTGTCTCAAGCTTATTCTGATGATAAGGCCATGACAAAATGATATCATGAGGTCGAAATAACCGTTACAGTTGTTGTTGTTTGTTGTTTTACGCCGCACTCAGCAATATTCCAGCTATATGACGGCGGTATAACCGTTACATGTTTGTGGGTGAAAAAACCCTGGTTCTCTATAAGCAAAAATCTCAATATCGATGAACTCTGATTATTAAGACTCCACTGGACCATGCCTTGTTAAATACGACCGGGGTAATAAGTCTACATCACGTACATCTACTGTAATATTGCTAAGTGTTCGGCGTTAAATAACAAACAAACAAACAATCAAAACATACATCTACTAGAAATTATTTTTTTTATAAGGATTTGTCATTTTGTTTACTGAAAACAAAACAATGAACAAATATGTAACGCGTTGTGTTCTCACAGTAAGCTGCAGTGTCTCACGTATGTCTGCTGTAGACCTGGTCTAACTAGTACAGGGGGCATTGGTGGCGCAGGCGTCTAAGGCGCCGCGATTCGCTGTGCAGAGTTGCGTCCCTTGGGCACGCCAGAAACCTATGATTGTGGGTTCGAATCCCGGTTCGCACCGATTATGTTTCTAGGTTTGTCGGCACCATACCCGTGTTCGTGGGTTTCACCGAAGTGCTGAACGTCTGAGACCTGCATCACTTCGGGCTTTCCTCCCACATTAAGCTGACACGCCGTTATGTAACTGGAATACTGTTAAAAGCGGCGTTAAACCCAACTCACTCATTACTCTAACATGTACAGACATTGTTCCTCACTTGACCATGTATATGGACAATGACTGGGTGTCTGTGATGTATCATAAGCATAACCCTCGTGTGTTAATAGCTCTGAAGTTGGCAAGTGTATGGAAACGAAACGAACGCCATTGAGACATTATTCTGGTTAAAGCCGACAGCTTATCATATTAATCAACTGTGCATGACATCAGTATGATAAATAGGATCAGAATGTGCGGTTTAGGATTTTATGACCAGCGGTGTTGAGTTATTTTTGGTGCCATAGACAAACCTCGTAGATCTCATATGGTGTTGGTACGTCATCCCACAAGACACGTGAAGATCCGGGATAGAGTGTCTTCAGCAACCCATGCTTGTCGTAGGAGGCGACCAAATGGATCGGGTGGTCAGGCTCGGTTACTTGTTTGGTGCATGATGTCAATCACTGGATTGTCTGGTCCAGACTCGATTATTTACAGACCGCCGTCATATAGCTGAAATATTGCTGAGTGGGGTGTTGAACAAGCAAACTAACAGACAATATCCCACAACGTCATCCAATACACGCATATCCCATATGAATGAAGATTTATACAAAATAACGACTGTCCCCTTGATGAGAATCGAACCTGGACCAAACGAAGGACGTACCTGGGCCATACCCTCTTGGCTACTGTTAATGTCCTACAAAATACATTATATATTATACAAAAATGAGGTAAATGTTCACTCGGTGTACATGTAATATATCTTCTTCTTCATCATCTTCTCTATATCAGTTTCAGACATAGAACTTTCGCTGTCTCATGACAGCTCTTCAGTGTAACTGAATATATATATATATATATATATATATATATATATATATATATATATATATATATATATATATATATATTGTATACAGCGAACTGCTTCTATCTCGAACCTGAAGTAACCAACCATCCAGGTTCGAAGTAGCGTTTGATTCGAGATACAAATACAAACATCTACCCTGTTGTAAATACATTGCACCAAACAAAGTCTCAAGCTATACGTCTAGGTGCCAAAATGCTGTACGTACGCTCTGTGGTTCCAGACTTAACGTTATCGCACACACAACCGAAAAGACCAGTAATGAATACAAGACAATGCTTTGGCGTTACCGTTATGGCTCCGTCTCACGTGACACTGGTCTGTTTTGCTTTAAAATGTACATCTTTACGGCGGCCTGGGGACCTAACTCCATGTAATTTCCTAAAAGAATGGTCCGCAACTAGTCGTGTAGAGGTTTCACCTTGTACCATTTATGGTGTATGTTTTGTTGATATTTCTTGTGTTTTCTTTCAAATTTTAATCATTAAAGTTAAATAAAACTCAAAATGTTTGTTGTCTTTTATTTTCGAAATATATTATTATATTTTATACACTACCTCTACTATTGTCTGTTTAAATTTGTTGTTTTCCCTACCCGCGAAGATCCGGGGTAGAATAGGTCTTCAGCAACCCATGCTTGCTGTACTAAGGTGACTATGCTTGTCGTAAGAGGCGACAAACGGGATCGGGTGGTCAGGCTCGCTGACTTGGTTGATGCATGTCATAGTGTTCCAGTTGCGTGGATCGATGCTCATTATGTCAATCACTGGATTGTCTGGTCCAGACTCGATTATTTACAGATCGCCGTCATATAGCTGGAATATTGCTGAGTGTGGCGTTAAACAACAAACAAACAAACACAATGGGCGTAACTTCCGCCTAAGTTAACCTTAAAGGGGCACTGATCTAACGCAATTCCCCGGGACTGGTTGTTGCCTTTGTTATTGTTTTTTCCCAGTGAGTACCAGGATGTGTAGCAGAAATCTAGACTAGTTCGCGACCTCTGCTGCGCCATTCGTAAGCGCATTAGTCACTTTTATGGGTAGTAATAAGGGAGTATGGTCACATTGATCAACAAAATGAAATACATTTTTCGAGATAATAAGGAAATGTAGGTATCTTTGTGGGTAGCATCGGTAATGGTGACGAAGTTTTGATAAGTCACTTGCTTGGTAATTTTGCGATTTTCGTTTACACTATTTTGACTTGCAACACAAAGTAAATATTTCACCTGAGCGTAGTGTGTATATTTTTTTTACTGTCAAATGTGTAACAAATTTATTAAACGTCTAAATATTCAGTTATTTTACAAAGTGACTGAAAAACATTTCCATCTGTATTATTATGATAACGAATTCCAAACATTTTGATGTGTAATGTCATCACCAAGAGACTGAAAATGTTGCGTTGAAAAGTACATTTCTATGTTGTTTGGCTTCTAATCCTACATAATAATCTGTTGTGATGTTTGTAGGCCCTTTTGATCGTCTTAATCAACCTGGGCAGATTTTTTAGTCAAAATGACTGAAATATTTACACATTTTATAAATTGCCTGAGAGAATCACATTTTACAAATTGACGGTAATATATACACGCTTACAAAGGAAAAGACCTTTTATTTAACAGGCGCCCTTTGTCGAAATCTTTATAGATCACAGTTAACCAATCAGTGTTTATGCATAAATGCGTAAAACAAATATTGCCTCCAGCCTCCAAGTTTATTTAGCTGTCCTTGCAGACGGTAGCCCAGTCTCTGGTCACGCTCAGTTGCGTTGCGTATCATCCGGGTACTCACGGGGGAAAAAACAATAACAAAGGCAACAACTAGTCCGTGGAATTGCGTTAGATTAGTGCCCCTTTAATTATAACTGAGTAGTTAAGGTTAACTTTAGTTACTGAGGCTATTTTGTTTAATGGGGCCTTAGCCCATCTACAATCATTCCAAGAAAAGCCTCTACTCCTCCTCCATCCCAACCCTGACCCTCCGGGCCTGCATAAGGGCCTGTGCAGAATGAGGAGCAAGTGTGGTTTCGACAATAGTTGGACCAAGCGTTCGTAAAAGTTCAAATGATATATAACGCTATTGCCGATTAACTCCCTTGTTCGGAGAGTTCGAAGTCCAATGTGACGCGTGTATGTCAGCTGTTTGATCGATGCTCATCACGACAAGGTGAGTTCAGTATATGGTATGTGAGGGCTCGCTTTCTATTATATAAAGTTGGTCTATGTCACCGGCAGTTGAGCCAGCTGTCCCTGCGAGCGTGCTGCTAATCTGAGTATTCTCATGCTGGAGTCATTTCGACATAGCCGAGAGCCGCAATGTGGTCAAGACATGACCCTACTTCACGGACGAGAAAACCACTTTCGTAAATCCTATTCAGGCACAGGAACTCGATAATAGCGTGTTTGGCATAATATATTCGTATAGAAAAAAAATCACACCCCTCCATATACAAGGTTCGAATCACAGCTCGATATCGCATGAAATATGAATGTCACTTATTTCAACCTATTTTTAAACAACCACCAAATGTCAGCTCTATGCTGCGCCGCTGAGGTAAACAAGAAAAAGCTGACCGGAAATTACGGCGCTACACGGGCTTGAACACAGCAAACGTTTCTGATTGGTTAAAATGTGTATCATAATATCAGCACAGTGAGAGGAGGGAAATTGAAAACCGTTAATAGTAAGCCTGCTTGCAGAATGTTGGGGTTGACAAGGAAATCTGCAGCATAATTAAACATTTTGGGGAGCTCTCGATCTATACTATTGCTGCCACTAGTCAAAACTCATGACTTGGAGTTGAACTCGCAACCGAATGACCGTTATGTCTACGAACAAGTGACAACTGTCGTGACGCCGAATACACTTACCGCTGATAAATTACTTTCTTTGTTTGTCAATTTGAAATTCTGTTTCATTAAAACTATCATGTCACTGATATAGTAAGAATATAAGGGGCGAGTTTGTTGTTTTTCCGTTTGTCTGCAACCTCGAACCAATCTGATTATACAAACAACAAAGTAAATTCATCTGGAAAACATGGTCAGTCGTAAACTTTTTCAAAATGAAATATGATGGCATTCCCAAAGACATAAACAAACGTTTAAACGTTACTACATTTGGGGTTAGAGGGCAAATTTCAAGATTCTTGTAATGGCCGCGCCCACACAGTGGGCAGCAATGTTACCGAGAGTGTAGCGAAGATGTCACGCGCTGGGAAGGAGCTTGTCAGCGTAACACTATGCTGGCTGGCTTCCGGCCGCATGGAACTCTTGGTAGGAGAGTGTTCCCTTCTAATTGCTTACCTCAGCGGCGCTGATATCGAGCTGTGATTCGAACCGAGTGTGAAATCTTGAATAAGATCCAAGATGGCGGGTGTCACTCCTTGTCTATATGTATATAGAGGGGTGTGATGTTTTTCTATACGAATATACTATAATATATATATTATGGCAACAATGCAGTTTATTTAAAATTAGTGTAGCTTTCCTGAGAAACGCAGTTCACTGTGTGAATACCATGACTTTGTGTGAAGCCATTGAATGAGGTTTTTCAGGTGCGCGTGTCAGAGTTACCTCCCTTATAGCCCATCTTCGAAGATGAGGGTCCACTGAAAATTAACCAATGTTGTGATGCAGTTAGTGTGGCATACTTCACGATATATCTTCTAAGACTCATGGGAAGCATCAAGAAAAGTAGAAACTTTAACTGCCATGATAAATCATATTTATAAATTGAAGATATAAGGCTGGCAAAAGCATTAGCCAAATATTCACACACGAAAAGGTAGAAGGTACAAACACAATGCTTGAACCAACATGCGGTGGCTTACTATCTCAAGTGATAAATTCATTTAATTGATTTTATAAGGTAGAATTTCCTTCAGTGTAAGCGACTTGCATAATAAAACAACACATACCAGCGTTAGAAATTGGCACTAGTCCTGTAGTCCTTACCAAACTGCCCAATAGTAAAAGTACTCTAAGGACTAGTAGAAATTGGCTCATTTTAAGGGGTTTTGCTATATGTTATCATTATAAGGACTAGTGGACAAAAACTGTTAGTTTCTAACCCTGCATACCAATAAGTCTATTTTTAGGGATGGGAATTTGTGAACATTTTGCTAGTGGGTAAAATGCTGTTTGTTATGCGCCATATGTTGAAAGAGACCTTGTGTCCCAGGGTACTGTTGTACAAAACAACCTTAGCGCTACGACTGTCGCGAGTCTATGTTAAGGTATGGGGGTTACGATCACCTAAGGTTGCTTTGTACAATGGCAACCGGGGGTATCAATCTCAACTTAACATAAATTTTGAAAACACAGTTGAAGGGAGACAACTCTTACTTACTTGGTTGAAACATATACATCATAAAATACCCAACAATTTCACAGAATTTGTATAGAATTACATAGGTGATATGATGAAACCTGTTAAGGGCTCTTAAAGTTTAAATATTTGATTTATGGGATTTATTTGGAGAAAGAAATAGTATATAGGCAACTGTATGTAGCTATTGTAATGCTGTCGATGAGAATGTCTATATTCATTGACAACAGTGCATGTAGCTTTTGTAATGCTGTCAATGAGAATGTCTATATAGACAACAGTGCATGTAGCTTTTGTAATGCTGTCAATGAGAATGTCTATATAGACAACAGTGCATGTAGCTTTTGTAATGCTGTCAATGAGAATGTCTATATAGACAACAGTGCATGTTGCTTTTGTAATGCTGTCAATGAGAATGTCTATATAGACAACAGTGCATGTAGCTTTTGTAATGCTGTCTATGAGAATGTCTATATAGACAACAGTGCATGTTGCTTTTGTAATGCTGTCAATGAGAATGTCTATATAGACAACAGTGCATGTAGCTTTTGTAATGCTGTCTATGAGAATGTCTATATAGACAACAGTGCATGTTGCTTTTGTAATGCTGTCTATGAGAATGTCTATATAGACAACAGTGCATGTAGCTTTTGTAATGCTGTCAATGAGAATGTCTATATAGACAACAGTGCATGTAGCTTTTGTAATGCTGTCAATGAGAATGTCTATATAGACAACAGTGCATGTAGCTTTTGTAATGCTGTCAATGAGAATGTCTATATAGACAACAGTGCATGTAGCTTTTGTAATGCTGTCAATGAGAATGTCTATATAGACAACAGTGCATGTAGCTTTTGTAATGCTGTCAATGAGAATGTCTATATAGACAACAGTGCATGTAGCTTTAGTATGCTGTCAATGAGAATGTCTGCCATGTCTTTTGGAAATGTAATGAAACTAAAACAATTGGAATGATCTTGAACTTTTGCTAAATAACTATCTTTCACCCCCTCAAATATCTTTTTCAATTTTTTTTATTTTGTTGGTTGTAACTACTTGAATCAATCATACATATCTATTTTTAGGAAATGGCATATCCATATAGTTTTAAAACTACTTAAAACATATATTCAATTAAGACATTTTTGCTATAAAGAAGGATGATGAAAACAGATTTAATATAAAATGGTCATTTTTATTTTCAGCATTTGTTTCATAACTTTGTGTTGATACAAATCATGAGTAGATAAGGGTGCAGCTCAGTGGACATATGGGGTAGTGAAAGTTTCAGCTCTGTAGACATTTTATGGTGAAGTGAAGGGTGCACCTCATTAGCCAGGCTTGGGTGGTAGTAAAGGGTGCAGGTCAGAAGACACATGGGTGGTAGTGAAGGGTGCAGGTCAGTAGACATGGGGTAGTGAAGGGTGCAGGTCAGTAGACATGGGGTAGTGAAGGGTACAGCTCAGTAGACGTGTGGGGGAAGTGAAGGGTGCAGGTCAGTAGACGTGTGGGGGTAGTGAAGGGTGCAGGTCAGTAGACATGGGGGGTAGTGAAGGGTGCAGGTCAGTAGACGCGGGGGGGTAGTGAAGGGTACAGCTCAGTAGATGTAGGAGGTAGTGAAGGGTACAGGTCAGTAGACGCGTGGGGGGGGGGGGTTATTGAAGGGTACAGGTCAGTATACATGTGGGGGTAGTAAAGGGTGCAGGTCAGTAGACGTGGGGGGTAGTGAAGGGTACAGCTCAGTAGATGTAGGAGGTAGTGAAGGGTACAGGTCAGTAGACGCGTGGGGGGGTTATTGAAGGGTACAGGTCAGTATACATGTGGGGGTAGTAAAGGGTACAGGTCAGTAGATGCATGGGGGGGGGGTAGTGAAGGGTGCAGGTCAGTAGACGTGGGGGGTAGTGAAGGGTACAGGTCAGTAGACATGGGGGGTAGTGAAGGGTGCAGGTCAGTAGACATGGGGGGTAGTGAAGGGTACAGCCCAGTAGATGTAGGAGGTAGTGAAGGGTACAGGTCAGTAGACGCGTGGGGGGGTTATTGAAGGGTACAGGTCAGTATACATGTGGGGGTAGTAAAGGGTGCAGGTCAGTAGACGTGGGGGGTAGTGAAGGGTACAGCTCAGTAGATGTAGGAGGTAGTGAAGGGTACAGGTCAGTAGACGCGTGGGGGGGTTATTGAAGGGTACAGGTCAGTATACATGTGGGGGTAGTAAAGGGTGCAGGTCAGTAGACGTGGGGGGTAGTGAAGGGTACAGCTCAGTAGATGTAGGAGGTAGTGAAGGGTACAGGTCAGTAGACGCATGGGGGGGTTATTGAAGGGTACAGGTCAGTATACATGTGGGGGTAGTAAAGGGTACAGGTCAGTAGACATGGGGGGCAGTGAAGGGTACAGCTCAGTAGATGTAGGAGGTAGTGAAGGGTACAGGTCAGTAGATGCGTGGGGGGGGGGGGGGGGGGTAGTGAAGGGTGCAGGTCAGTAGACATGTGGGGGTAGTGAAGGGTGCCTCTCAGGGTAGTGAAGGGTGCAGGTCAGTAGACATGTGGGGATGGTGAAGTGTGCATCTCAGTAGATTTGGGTGGTAGTAAAGGGTACAGGTCAGTAGACGTGGGGGGTAGTGAAGGGTACAGGGCATTAGACATGGGGGGTAGTGAAGGGTACAGCTCAGTAGATGTAGGAGGTAGTGAAGGGTACAGGTCAGTAGACGTGGAGGTAGTGAAGGGTGCCTCTCAGTAGACATGTGGGGTAGTGAAGGGTACAGGTAAGTAGATGGGGATAGTAGAGGGTACATGTCATTAGACAGGGGGGGGGTAGTAAAGGGTGCAGGTCAGTAGACATGTGGGGATGGTGAAGGGTGCATCTCAGTAGTAAAGGGTGGTAGTAAAGGGTACAGCTCAGTAGACGGGGTTAGTGAAGGGTGCATCTCAGTAGACATGAAGGGGTAGTAGTGAAGGGTGCAGGTCAGTAGACATGTGGGGATGGTGAAGGGTGCATCTCAGTAGACGTTGGGGGTAGTGAAGGGTACAGCTCAGTAGACGGGGGTAATGGAGGGTACATGTCAGTAGACATGGGGGGGGGGGGGGTAGTGAAGGGTGCAGATCAGTAGACATGTGGGGATGGTGAAGGGTGCATCTCAGTAGATTTGGGTGGTAGTAAAGGGTACAGCTCAGTAGACAGGGTTAGTGAAGGGTGCAGCTCAGTAGACATGGGGGGATGGTGAAGGGTGCATCTCAGTAGACGTGGGGGATGGTGAAGGGTACAGCTCAGTAGACAGGCCTGGGTGGTAGTGAAGGGTGCAACTCAGTAAACAGATGAGATGGCATTTTTTTTTATCGGTGGTAAGGTAAAAAGCATATTTTGACATATATGCTGGATAAATCACATAACTACACCCTCTCTTTCCATAGTCATTCACTAGTATGTTTTTTTGCATCTTGACTATTAGTGTTAATGTCTTCAAGAGGTAACCGAAACTCTGAATTGTATCTTTTGTTTGTAGTTTATTAGACGGTGGCCAGTATGCTGAAACCCCATGGTTTTTTTTGTAAAAAAATCTTTTGGGATGATTTTCTAATTAATAAGTTATGATAGTTATTGCAACAAATCATTTTTATGAGTGAGAAAGCATCAGTCCGTTCACTAGTTAGTGAGAAAACCCAATATCTTACATTATACGTTTTGCATATTTACAGTGAAACCCCGTTAATCCGGAAACATGACCTTCTGAACAAATTCTTCTGGTAAGGCTTACCTGTATGAACAGTGACGTAATATTTTGTTCTTGCAGTTGTGGAACACGGCCAGAATTCATTGTTAGGAGTTGTCAATGGCTGCCATGGATTCTTCACAGGACAATATAAAAGTTACCAATATCACCTCGACTCTCACCCTGTACGAAAGCAGCATTAAACCTGCGTCACAAAATAATGTGATAGCGGACACTTTAGTACTATTTTTCGGCTGGCTTAATGCGAAACCGGAAACCCTGGACAAATACCGGAAGTTATATCTGTCACGTGGTTTTGACGTGCTATTTATAAATGGTAAACTCTCTCACTTCGCATGGCCACCAGGCTCTGTTCAGGCAAGTTTTGAATTATTGCAGCTTTTGAAAAAAAAGTTTGACCGCTACGATCACTACTTGGCCCATGGTGTCTCTGTCGGAGCATATAACTACACAATATGTTTACAAATGGCGACTGACATGCCGGTCCATTGCGGTCATTTCAGTGAGAAACTGAAGGGCGTGGTTCTAGACAGCACGACTTGTGGGTCACTCTCACGAATGGCCGTAGGGGTCAGCCAGGGGGTAACAAACAGTGCGTTTCTCAGGAAAATAATTCAGAAATCTATGGAATATTACTTTGCAATCACACGTCGACACACTGCTGATTTTTACGAGAAAGAAGTTCAGTTCTTTATTGATTGCCCGGCAGAGGTACCGACTCTGATCCTGGCTTCACGTGACGACCCCATGTCCGATCCCCAGGTCGTTGAGGATATACACAGTCGATGGGAGGCTATTGGTAGTTTCAAGGTGTTCTACAAGATGTGGGAGACTAGTACTCACGCGGCTCATTATAGAAGCCACCCGGAGGAGTACCTGACCCATCTTGGGGAGTTTCTTGCTGCATACGAACAATGTGCTGCCACAGGCAACAAAACCAAAGGCCCACAGTCCAAGTTGTGATGAAACGTTAAAGCAAAGGGTTCCTTTTTTTTTCTTTCTCTTTTTTTTTAGTTTGTTATATGTTCATTTATGACGTGTGCTTATTTCTTCAAATACCGTATTGACAGACATTTCCCATGTGACAAGAGGAATATCTTGTGTGTTGGATGGGTGGAATGGCATGCAATGTTTCCATCACGTAAGCTATGTAAAAGTCTTTGCTCGCCTTGTGCGAACTGTGAAGCGAAATGTGTCTTGTGATATAGTGGTTTTAGCATGAATAACAGGTAAGAATACAAGATAGGTACATTCTCACCCACGGGGATTCCAGGTAAAAATAACAGCTTATAAGAGGCGACTAAACGGATGGGTGGCTCTGTGACTTGGTTGACTGTGTGCCACCATACAATGACGTCGTTGGGCTTTGCTCTTTTAATCAATCACTGATTCTAGTATTGATTATTTACAGGCTGTCGTAATATATTGGCATATTGCTGATAAATATGTGTTAAAAATAAATAAACAAACACTTATTACAAGACTAGACCCATCCTCTAGATATCCAGGGCTCGTATTTCACTCACCTATTCTTGCTTGCCAGACAGTTTTTCAAAGTTGAATTTCTTGCAAACCCTATCGTAATCAACGGGACTGGTCGCCATCGAGGCTGGTTTGTAACTTGCATTCTGATTGGTCCGTTGCACTGAGCAGCGTAGCAAATCAAATTGGCTGATGGAATTCAAGGGCGGGTAATTTGAGGGCGCGAGAACCACGGCAATGGATCCAGGGATTAGTGTGGGTTCACCAACATACGAGCCCTGGAGATAGACTAGTTACCTAAGTGTACAGATGACGCAATGGTCACAGTGAGAACCCTGCTTGCAGGTGGAAGAAATCCATCAATCAGATGTCTGTTTACAATTAACTTTGGCAATAGGGATCCATATTTATACCAATTGTTGCCACCTACATTAAGGATGACAACATAGATGTACAGTAAACTACGTTTATACGAACACGCTTATAACGAACTGGCGGATATAACGAACTGGCGGATATAACGAATTGTTTTTTTTGTCCCAGCCATTTGCTGTATACATGCTGTATAACCATACCCGTGCTCGTGGGTTTCACCGAAGTGGTAAACGTCTGAGACCTGCATCACTTTCCTCCAACAATAAGCTGACACGCCTCGATATAACTGGAATACTGTTAAAAGTGGCGTTAAACCAAACTCACTCACTCACTCACATGCTGTATATATGTTTGTAACGAATTACGGTTATAACGAACTAAAATTAGTGGTCCCTTTCAGTTCTTCATAACCGTAGTTTAATGTATTACTTGCTGTAGAAGCATTAGAACAAACAGTTTCAAACACTAGCAAAACATCACTAACGATGTCTTGCATATTACCACTGGCTGTAATGTGTATATTACCTTTCTAAGGAGTATGTGTGTACATTATTCAACGTTGTATCGATACGTTTATGCAAAATGTGTGTACACTGATATGTTTTGTGAGTATTTGCCTTGATCTCAGATGTGTGAAATTTTACGGATGTTGCTATGTCGGTATACATGTTTTCGGAGAATGAACGAATAAAAGGAAAAACGATGCCTATTTGATTATGTTATCGCCAAGACCGAAGCTCCATGTGCGCATGGACCAGCAGGAGAACAGTGACCTAGAAGCAGCAGTGATTTCAGTAAACCTACATTAACACCAGGATCCATTGCCGTGGTTCTTGCTATCTAACATTTCTATTACCATTTCCATTTTCATTAGCCAATTTGATTTGCTACGCTACTCAGTCTAACGGATCAGTCAGAATACGAGTTGCAAACCAGCCTCGATGTCAGGCAGGCGATATCAGCCATATGGCGGCCAGTACCATTGATTACGACAGAGTTTGCCATACATTCAACATTAGAAAACTGACTGACACGCAAAATAAACCCTCAAAGATCTTTTGGTGGAAAGGATGTCTTCATGTCCATTATAACTGTCTATGGCAAGTCCTTTTGCTACAAAGTCTTTCCATTCCCCTTTTGCCTTTTCTTGGTCAGGGAGCCACGGGTGGCCCAGTCGTCTAAGGCGCCGCGATTCGCTGTGCAGAGTTGCGTCCCTTGGGCACGCCAGAAACTTATGATTGTGGGTTCGAATCTCGGTTCGCCCCGATTATGTCTCTAGGTTTGTCAGCACCATACCCTGCTCGTGGGTTTCACCGAAGTGTTTAACGTCTGAGACCTGCATCATTTTGGGCTTTCCTCCCACATTAAGCTGACACGCCGTGATATAACTGGAATACTGTTAAAAGCGGCGTTAAACCCAACTCACTCACTCACCTTTCTTGGTCTGTAAAATGGTAATGAATATCAAGGGAGGGTAATTTGAGGTCGAAAGAACCACCGAAAGCGAGCCCTGGAGATGCAGAGGATTCAGTGACCTGGCGAGTAAAACTTCAGCTTTACTTGCTCGGACACAGCTTTCCTCAGGTTTTACTATGGGAACCCAAAACCACTGTCGTGTTTTATCCCTTATATGACTTAATTCTACGGAATCTTTCAAAAGATGCAGTTTGGTTCGAGGGTCGAAGTTCAATTAGTTTACACTCTGGAACGGTAGTAATTTGTCGATCGGCAGTGAGAAACATGAAAATAGAAACAAACACCGACACCTTTCACCGAAGATATTCTTTAGAAACGACCGTAGCTTTAATAATGGTAATCTTAAATACGACAGTGAGTTAAAAGGATGATTCGTGTAAACAAAACTTGCGATGTGTGTGATGAGAGTGTATTTCTGATGATCCGAACTGTACGACTGGATGGTGCTCATTGTGATGATTTGAAGCGCCCTTTAAAAGCCCCTGGTCAAGCATTTTCGAACCCAGTAATCCAGAGAATCAGGGGTTGCTCAATACCACTGCATTGGCAAGTCTGTATTCTGTCCGATCTAAACAATACAAATGTATGTGAGTGAACGAGTTGGTCTTAACGCCGCATTGAAATATATTTCAGTTACATCACAGCCTGTCAGTTTGCCGTTGGGGAATTCCGAAGTGATACAGGTCTCCGACGTTTACCACTTTTTAGAGCACGGGTATGGTGCTGACAAGTTTAGAAACATAATCGGGTCGAACCGGGATCCGAACCTACGATCATAGGTTTCTGGCGTTCCTAAGGGCCATAACTCTTCGGTGTTTGCGGTGCTTCAGACGACTGGGCCAGCCGTGCCCCCGTATGTTCATCAGAAGGGAATACCACTGTAAGGGATTTAATGATGTGGCCGTTACAAGAAGATATAAAATACATGTACTCAAGCATTGACGAAGCGATCATCACGCGAGTGAGTGAGTGGACTGGCGGGCAGGTGTGTAGGAACTGGGTTAAGGACCTCTTTAAGCAGGATTGCATTTATAGGAGGCGGAGTGGTGTGTGTGTGTGTGTGTGTGTGTGTGCCTTCGTCGTATAACCTGCAGGGTCAAACAAAAGTATACACTTAAAAAATAGATTTGAGCCAACAATTATAAACGTTAGTAATCAGAGTGAGTGAGTGAGTTAGTTTTAACGCCGCTTTTAACATTATTCCAGTTATATCACGGCGTGTCAGCTTAATGTGGGAGGAAAGCCCGAAGTGATGCAGGTCTCAAAGGTTTACCTCTTCGGTGAAACCCACGAGCACGGATATGGTGCCGACAAACCTAGAAACATAATCAGGGCGAACCGGGATTCGAACCCACAATCACAGGTTTCTGGCGTGCCCAAGGGACGCAGCTCTGCACAGTGACTCGAGGCGCCTTAGACAACTGGGCCTACTAATCAGAACACAATCACCGAAACACCGAAGGTCCAAAACACAACTATGATTCCGTAGCAAATACATCACCATCATTTTTAGCCACAATCAAACGTGACTGTATACTTTTTTTTGCCTGGCTGTTTAGCCGGAATAGTGGTGAGTTCGGTGTTGAACGTCAGACAAAACAAACTGCAAAGGTTTCTAAAAGGTTTCAAGGATTATAAAGGTTTCAAAGGGTTTTCCAAGGGTTTCACGAACGCCCGTATCAAGCACCAACAATCCCTGGAACAATGAAATCGACATCTCTTGGTGATTGCCTGCAGAGTAACAGTATCTGTTGCCCGCAGAGTATCAGCATCTGTGAACACATAAAACCGCCGATATGCATCGTGTTGCCTATTAACTTCGCCAAATCAATTCCCTAAGACATAAATAAATTCACCGAGATATTTTAGGTCACTATCTGGATTTGTAAAGTGTAATTAGCAGTATTTCTGATCGATACTTTTACTTTACGATATACAAGCGATTTTTATTTTATTTATCGCCCAGGATAGTTTAGAAACCCGTCAAATCAATATGCTATCTTTAATAAATCATTGTCAGTGGGGATGTGGTTGAAAATCAACAAAATCAATCTGATTAAAACAAAAAACAAAACAAAAAATCTCCCTCAAGTGTTGTCTTCCATTATTTAAACACGCGAATTCTGTATACAGCAACAGCACGAGCGTCGGGCTTGTGTGATTGGCCAGATTTACACCAGCCTCTTCTCGGTAGTTAAGATAGCCCGTGATCTGTGATAGTTCTGTGATTGTTAAGCTCCTTTCCCCGTGGCTGTAGACAGCGCCAGTACGTAGCGTGTTCATCTGCTGTGTTGGTGCCATCAACACGCTGCTCAGTGCTGGCAGACCGCGTAAACACTTCAATTTTTAATTCGATTATTCCCTCGGCATGTAAATGCCAGGGACGGAACGGATTTGATGTCTCATAGCGTCTTCTTAAAGAAATTTGCACGTTCAGAAGGAGCCCCCGGAGCTGGCTAATCATGTTTCTGTTTGGCAAATTGTGGAGCTTTGAAACAAGACTGTTGGGGAAATGGCAATATTGGCTTTAAGGTGATCATTATGGGAAAAAGATGCGGCGGAGCTGTCAATAAAACGTGTAAAAATGTGCTTCTATTGATGAGGATTCCAATTCGTGCGTGTTTGTGATAATTAATTGGAACTGGCACAAAAGTACTTGAATTATTTATAGTACAACACCCCGGCAAGGGAGCCCCTGATTCTCCACTATCTGTTGGATGTATTACACACAAGTTTATCACATTCAGTGGAGATGCTAGACGCTTTACGATCTCTTTTCATAATGTTAGTAACGTGTATGTTTGTGTTCGCTTCTATCGGCGGAAGTGCTGTGTCGGCCATCTTTGATAAGAACGGATGTGCCTATACGTTCAACGTTTGGCACCCGGATGAGGATATACTAAGACAGGTGAAAGATTTACAGGTGCAATTTTCGAACTTTACAAATTACGCCGAAGCTCAGGTTTCACGGATTCAACGAAATGTGATTCACGAGATGAGACAGTACGACAATTCAACGTCGTATCTGGAATCCCAAATCCTCCAGATGAATGTGGACAACATGCAAGCCAAATTGCAACACAACCATCTATCGGCTGAGGTAAATATTATGAGACGAGACATGGAAGACATGAATCGCAAAGTTGACGACCTCGAGATGGATTATTTTAGTTTAAAAGCTCGTGGTCGGGAACCGAGGAACGATTCGGTAAGGAAGGGACATCGGTCGATGAGTAAAGATTTTATTGGTATGATGAAAAACAGTGTTGGGGACCTCAAGGCAGAATGGCTATTGATGAAGCGGGAGCTGGATGACATCAGAGGAGAAAATTTGCAATTAAAACATGGACAGAACAACTTGAAAAACGATACGTCGTCCCTGAGGCAGGTGATGCGATCTTTGTCTGGGGAGATCCAGGCTGTGGAAGGTCGGGACTGGAGGGTCCCACAAAGCTCCCAGCACGTTCAAACTGAAATGTCTGGTCTTAAGAGAGACCTGAAGCGAATAAAAGACGACCAAAGCGATCTAAAATCTGACACGAATGAAATGAGGAACGAAATAGCAACTTTACATACAAGTAACATCCGGGTACAAAAGGACTTGCACGAGCTGCAGCTCGATAGTACGAGATTCCGCGAGAAACTCGAGTCACTGAGACGAGAGGAGAGACGAGGAGGAGAGACCGAAGTTACCAGAGAAAGACTGGAATCCAATCTCCCCAGTACCGACGATGTCGTACCGAGAGGTAATTATTACTGCCCCAGCTACGTCCTTGAGAATTGTCCGTCCCAGCAGCTTTCCCTTCCTAAATTCCTAGACATTTCATTTATCATGTTAATGACGAAAGTGTCAGAAAAAGGTTAGTTATAGAAAAGTTTGTTCGGTTATAATTTCGGATCCAAGGTGGGTGTCCCGGTTTTCGATATTTACTCTTTTGTAAATATAAGATGGGCCCCAATTACATGAAAAAATGTATTTTTATATTTATCAATATGCCGTAACACCACTGTCTAATTGTTCACCCCTGTCTACAGCCCAGCCCAAAATCCAGCAAACCCCAACCCCTACTGGTCAAACCCCCCAGCAGTTCTCCGTTGAGCGAAGTATTAATGTGTCGTGCTTCTGTTTGGAGACTATGCTTTGTGTAAGGCCAAGTATTAGGAACAAAACACCACCCCCTTCTTTTACTAACTAACCGATATTTGAATGAATAATACAACTCTATTATATGTGTGAGAGTGCGTTACTTGGTTCGTCAGTATCATACCCATGCTCGTGGATCTCCCTCAGGGGTGGCCCAGTCGCCTAAGACGCCACAATTCACTGTGCCGAGTTGCGTCCCTTGGCGCACCAGAAACCTTTGATCGTAGGTTCGAATCCCGGTTCGCCCCGATTATGTTTTTGTCAGCACCATACCCATACTCGTGGGTTTCACCAAAGTGTAAAGACCTAAGACCTGCATCACTTCGGGATTTCCTCCCATATTAATCTGATACGCCATTTTATAACGGGCATGGAACACTGTTCAAAGCGGCGTTCAGGCCAACTAACTCATTCACTAAGAAAGGAAAACAATTTATTTAGATTTCATAACTGTGTGTTGAATAAACAAGGGTTTGATCACAAACCATGTTTAGCTTTCAGCAGTAATACCGATTACCAGTTAATATTTTAAAAGGAATGTAAGGAATGTAAGTCATGTAGGTTAAGTAGGCTGTACGTATAAAGCCAATTGATTGTAACGTGACACTAGGCACTAAACTAGCTCACTAACAACCTTTACGACATCGATCCTCCCCTTCATTACTGTATCAGATGGGGAGAGATCCATCAGGAGGACACATATAGGTAGGTATCTGGACCGACTCAGCACCCTATAACAGCACTTCACTGGAGTAAATACACCAAGGAATCAAGGTGGTAGAATAGAAGAATATTGTAGCGGTTAAAGCGTTCGCCTGTCGCGCCAGACTCTGGTTCGAATCCCATCTTGAATAAAATGCGTGAAGCCCATTCTTGGTGTCGCCCGCAGTGGTGTGTCTGTATATTGCCAAGGGCGGCATTCAATCACCTTCCCTCACTCACCCCATGTCCTGCACATCCTGCACTACACTCTACGCATCAGACTGACGATTAACGGATAGAGTAGGTACCGAGAACAATGTGGTGTGTGATAGCGGACAGTGTGGGTGTGTGATAGTGGACTGTGTGGGTATATGGGTGTGTGATAGTGGACAGTGTGGGTGTGTGATAGTGGACTGTGTGGGTATATGGGTGGGTGATAGTGGACAGTGTGGGTGGGTGATAGTGGACTCTGGTGGTATATGGGTGTGTGATAGTGGACAGTGTTGGTGTGTGATAGTGGACAGTGTGGGTGTGTGATAGTGGACAGTGTGGGTGGGTGATAGTGGACAGTGTTGGTGTGTGATAGTGGACTGTGTGGGTATCTGGGTGTGTGATAGTGGACAGTGTGGGTGTGTGATAGTGGACTGTGTGGGTATATGGGTGTGTGATAGTGGACTATGTGGGTATATGGGTGGGTGATAGTGGACAGTGTTGGTGTGTGATAGTGGACTGTGTGGGTTGGTGATAGTGGACAGTGTGGGTGTGTGATAGTGGACAGTGTGGATGGGTGATAGTGGACTGTGTGGGTATATGGGTGTGTGATAGTGGACAGTGTGGGTGTGTGACAGTGGACTGTGTGGGTATATGGGTGTGTGATAGTGGCCAGTGTGGGTGTGTGATAGTGGACAGTGTGGGTGTGTGATAGTGGACTGTGTCGGTATATGGGTGGGTGATAGTGGACAGTGTGGGTGGGTGATAGTGGACTGTGTGGGTATATGGGTGGGTGATAGTGGACAGTGTTGGTGTGTGATAGTGGACAGTGTTGGTGTGTGATAGTGGACAGTGTTGGTTTGTGATAGTGGACAGTGTTGGTGTGTGATAGTGGACAGTGTTGGTGTGTGATAGTGGACATTGTGGGTGTATGATAGTAGGCAGCGTGGGTGTGTAGGTGGGTGATAGTGGACAGTGTGGGTGGGTGATAGTGGACTGTGTGGGTATATGGGTGGGTGATAGTGGACAGTGTTGGTGTGTGATAGTGGACAGTGTTGGTGTGTGATAGTGGACATTGTTGGTTTGTGATAGTGGACAGTGTTGGTGTGTGATAGTGGACAGTGTTGGTGTGTGATAGTGGACATTGTGGGTGTATGATAGTAGGCAGCGTGGGTGTGTAGGTGGACAGTGTGGGCATATGGGTGTGTGATTGTGGACAGTGTGGGTGTATGTGTGTGGTAGTGGACAGTGGTGGTGTATGGGTGTGGTATTATGGACAGTATGGGTATATGGGTGTGTGATAGTGGACAGTGTGGGTGTGTGACAGTGAACAGTGTGGGTGGGTGATAGTGGGCAGTGTGGGTATATGGGTGTGTGATAGTGAACAGTGTGGGTGTGTGATAGTGAACAGTGTGGGTTGGTGATAGTCGACAGTGTTGGTATATGGATGTTTGACAGTGGACAGTGTTGGTATATGGATGTTTGACAGTGGACAGTGTTGGTATATGGATGTTTGATAGTGAACAGCGTGGGCGTATGGGTGTGTGATAGTGGACAGTGTTGGTATATGGATGTTTGACAGTGGACAGTGTGGGTGTATGGGTGTATGATAGCGAACAGTGTGGGTGTGTGATAGTGGACAGTGTGGGTGTATGGGTGTGTGATAGTGGACAGTGTGGGTGTATTGGTGTGTGATAGTAAACAGTGTGGATGTTAGAATGTGTGTCAGTGGACAGTGAGGAGTTGTGGATGTGTGATAGTGGACAATGTTGGAGTACGGATGTGTGTAGACAGCGTGAGGTTAGAGGATTGATCTGTGTGTACAGCGTGAGGTTAGAGGATTGATCTGTGTGTACAGCGTGAGGTTAGAGGATAGATCTGTGTGTACAGCGTGAGGTTAGAGGACAGATCTGTGTGTACAGCGTGAGGTTAGAGGATTGATCCGAGTGTACAGCGTGAGGTTAGAGAATAGATCTGTGTGTACAGCGTGAGGTTGGAGAATAGATATGTGTGTACAGCGTGAGGTTAGAGGATAGATATGTGTGTACAGCGTGAGGTTAGAGGACAGATCTGTGTGTACAGCGTGAGGTTAGAGGATAGATCTGTGTGTACAGCGTGAGGTTAGAGAATAGATATGTATGTACAGCGTGAGGTTAGAGGATAGATATGTGTGTACAGCGTGAGGTTAGAGAATAGATATGTATGTACAGCGTGAGGTTAGAGGACAGATCTGTGTAGACAGCGTGAGGTGGGAGGTTGTAAAACGGTTTTGCTTCAGAGTATAGAGATGAGCCCACTGTGTGAGACATGCAGATGGGCGTGATTCAACTGATTTGTATATGAAGATGTAAAATGCTGTCCAAACCATCACCTCCAGGAATTTATACCTCGGTCACTACAACACCAATTAAACATGTATACAATTGTCTGTTCGTTGGTTTCAGATTTAAGATATGTAAAGCTGCTACTAAAACCTCCCTGCTAATCGGTGCTGGGTGTACACATTCTACCCTGCCTCACGTGCCATTAATCCGTTAAACACAGCGCGTACATGGTCTGAATAAAGCATAGGCTTGTTTTCGCAATTACTTGCTTCCTTGATGAATGCGTCCACACCTACTGACATTAATATTTAATGACTATCCTTCATCACGAGACGTGGCTAAGTCTAAGTGGTGTTTCACAGACTTGTTTTCGTTTAAACATGAGTTAATACAAGATTTCAGTGGTAGAGGGTTGCTTCATTAATACGTGTTGTCGGTAAGAATAATTATTCACGAAGAATCTTAAATATGCCTACCGTTAATAATCTAATGAGTGTTTTCTTATGTGGGTTATAACCAATTGGCTAAGGCATGCAAATCTCGGTGTAGAGTTGCGTCCTTTAGGCATGCCAGAAACCTATTATCGTGGGTAGGAATCCCAGATTCGTCCTGATTAGGTTTCTCTGTTTGTCGGCATCATATCCATGCTCGAGTATTTAACCAAAGTGGTAACTGTCTAAGACCTGCACAACTTCGGGGTTTGCTCCAACATGAAGATGACACGCCGTGAATACTATTCAAATAGTCATTAAACCCAGCTCACTCTCATTTTACAGATCGATATTATACAAAAAAAATGAATATGTATGGATATAACGCCAAATTTCAGTGAAACACATTACCATGCCGTTACATATTCATCTTAAGTAAAACACCATCCACCGTGACAAGTTTAGTGGTAGCAAATCGATGGTTTGATCCCCTGCCGCGTCATACCAAAAAACGTTAAAAGATGGTTCTTGTTGTTACCCTTCCTGGCGCTCGGCATTAAGGAGATAATTACCGGATTGGTCGGCTCGGGGTCAGTATTCTGTTCTGAGGGGGCTATCCATGTTAAACTGCGGCATGGTATCTCACTGGGCTAGCACTGTAAGACAGGCAGTAGTACGAGTATAATATCAGCATATTGAGGAAAACATGGGTTCGAACCCAAGTTGACGCCTTATTTGTTCTTTAGTCCGTCAACCCATACCCGCCCTCGCCTTCAAGGTTCGAATTTAATTGACATCAGTTCGCAAAAAGCAAATGTGTCTCTAAAAGAATCACTCTGGGAGCAACAGTCCAACAAAATCAAAACCAGACTATCTGAATGTTTGCTTTCGCAGGTTAGAGCACCTGTCAGCTAAAGCATCAAATTTCAACAATGTAATTCAGACCGCCATAGCGCTAAGATTGCTTTGTGGAACCGGCCCCTCGTGTGAAGTCTGACGTATGACAGCGTTAGGACGTATGAACTTCGATAATCCAGCGCGATGACCCTTTGTATGTCGGGTATTCTGCTGACAATTCGTGTTGCAAAGTGTTGCAAAGCCTCATCGTGGTTTCGAATCCATGATTCGCCCTTATTATGTTTGTCAGCAAAGCACTCCTGGGCCCCGTTCCACAAAGCGATCTTAGCACTAAGGTGATCGTAAGTCCCATACTTTAACATAGGTTTACGATCATCGTAGCGCTAAGATCGCTTTGAGGAACGGGGCCCTGCACGCTGGTTTCATCACGGGTCTAAGGCGCCGCAGTTCGCTCTGCAGATTTGCGTCCCTTGGGCACGCCAGAAACTTATGACCGTAGGTTCGAATCCCGGTTCGCTCTGATTATGTTTCTAGGTTTGTCAGCACCATACCCGTGCTTGTGGATTTCACCAAAGCTTTAGTCTGAGACCAGCATACCTTAGGGCTTTCCTGTCATATTAAGCTAACACATCGTGATATAAATGGAATACTTTCAAACCCTAATCACTCACTCACTCATTCTGCTCCAAGCGACGTTAACCCAACTCACTCACTCACTCACTCACTCACTCACTCACTCACTCACTCACCATTACAGACATACAATATCCTGTTAACACCACTCTTGTCTCCACAGTTCCCATCGGGAGAAAACTGTCGGACAGAATTAGCCATTACCCCAGTGGGAGGGGGGGACAGGAAAGGGAGGGGACCGCCTGAAGGAGGGTATGGGACAGACGCCATAGTGGGAAATCTATTCTCGTTAGCTCCCTTTGGAATTGGCTGATGGTGGTCTAATCATTCATATGGCATTGTGGCGGGTTCTAATTATTACAGCGCTGCGAGATCCGTTCCAACATAGAGAATACTATGGAGGAGGTAACGTATTAAGCCACTGGTCAAGTGTCGTGGTCATCCCCACGTTGTACACAGAGAACTATCCTTGACACAGGTTTATTAGTTGTTAAAAATATGCATTGATACTTCCGCATCATAATGGCCGAGGACTAAGTGCCCGACCATTTATTATTTTGCGGTTGGGCAGGGAAGGGAAGCTATGGAGTTATGAATTCATCAATTCGTTAGAATTCGCCACTGATTCATGACGTACTACAGCATAGTTAATGTCTTTTCCACAAAATATTTTTCAAAACCTTTCAAACATTTTCAAGACACAAACCAACATGTTCAACTGACACATCGTACCAGCGTACCAGCGAAAACCCAACCTAGACCTTCGCGAGACGTTCGCGTGACCTTCATGCGACCTTCGTGTGACCATCTTTACCTCTTACTGTTTCTTACATGTTATCGCGACGGTGGTGTAGCTTAGTGGTTAAAGCTTGTCACCCCGAAGACCCGGGTTCGATTCCCTTTTCGGTACAATGCGTGAAGCCCATTTCCGGTGATATTGCTGGAATATGTTGCTAAAAGCGGCGTTAAACCTTACTCCCCCACTCACACTACGATGCTATCACCTAACGTTTGGGCCACGTTGGTGTAGAAGGTTAGGAAGTATTTCGGCATGGGGAAGTATCCCATTGAAATCAGTGTTCTTATCTAGCCGATTTTGTAAATTAAGTTTTCAATTTGTGATATTACGACATCAGACCAGCAGATCAATCCACCTATAGAGTGAAACCTCGTAAGTGTGGACCCCGTTAATCCGGACATCTAAGCTTCCGGACAACTACTGCTGGGAGCGCTTGTATACATACAAACTACACTTTTCTGTACCGTAAAGATCCGGGTAAGAAAAGGTCTTCACAAACCCATGCTTGCCGTAAAAGGTGATTATACTTGTCGTAAGAGGCGACTAACGGGTTCGGCCGGTCAGGCTCGCTGACTTGGTTGATACATGTCATCGTTTCCCAGATGCGTAGATCGATGATCATGATATCAATCACTGGATTGTTTTTCATATGAGGCGACTACATGGATCGGGTGTTCATGGCGGTGACGTGATTCATTGCGTTTCGTCGTACCCCGAAGTCGAGGGACGTTGCTCATGATATCAGTCACTGGTTTGTCTTGTCCAGATTCGATTATTTACAGGGCGCCGTCATATAGTTGGAATATTATTGTGTGCGGCGTTAAACAATAAGCAAACATAATTCCACCAAAATCACTTAAAAACCACCCGATACATTCTCCCACGTTCACAAACTGTTTACAACTTGAAGGGATGTCCTTGCGATAAGCCAATATAACCTTTCATGATCTACTACCAACACACCACGAGAATACCCTGGTCCTGCCACTGGCGTGAACACTCTCCAAGTCAATGAATATTCACAACCAAAATGTCAGGTGCATACCAAATGATTCTTTTGTCTCAAAAACAATCATGAAACATAAATATATATAATCTGTTCAATTTGAAGGTCATTTCGGCACTAAGCAAAACATCAGAAAAACAAATTTTGCCTGCTGGTTTTAAACATACAATAAAAGCTGAGAAACCACAATCCGTTCTTTAATGATTTTCTTCTGCATTTCCATTTTGCTATCACACATTCCTACAAATCATAAATATTTAAAATGGAATTTTTCCTCTGACAATTGAACAAACTCCACATTTGTAAACGCCCGAGTCTACTACAAAGCAACAACAATACATGTATTATTAATCTAAAACTTAACTTCTGGAAAAAGTAATATTGGTAAGCTTGAAAAGTCAAAACCACTCCCCGCATGCGTTAATGCACAAAACACCACTGGTAATTGCGCATGAATCTTTTATGCTTTCCATATGCAATCCTGTCGGCATCTTTCATCAGCGTTGCAGGTCCGCGAAACAATCACCGATAGTGTACAGTTGAAGCCTATAGGGACTAGCCAGTCATCCGTCTTGCTTAATCTGGGAGTGCGATGATCTTCGGCGCGAGATTACAGTGTTAAAACAATCGGGAACTGTATTGTCATCGATTTTCAAGGTTCTGCAACTTCAGCAAGAGCTTAATTACACCTTCTAAAAGAAGACTTCAAATTAAAGTCTGATCTGGCGAATCTAATGATAATAAACGAGCAATCTGCTTCAGGCAATGTGGTTTCTGTAGCGATGCACTGAAGTAAATCTTTGGAAGTCAAAGAAAAATACATGGTTCAGATTCGATATCAACTGGACATCAGCTGGCTAATATCATATATTGTTTCTGTCTGTGTGCTTAGGCAACTGCTCGTTTGAAAGACTTGGTTTCCCGTGTGTGGGTAATTGCATATTGTCCCCGTCCAATCCAGCAGTGGCCGTGTGTAGACAGGGGGGCGTTCTGCGTAATCCGGGAATAATAAGGCTGAGATTAGGGGTCTTCCTCGTGAATTACGTAAATGCTTCGTAATGTGTACACAGGCAGCAGAACCAGTTTATCAGCTTTCAGTAATGTTGTACTCGAAACGCTATTAAATTGCATTTGTTCTTCAAACAAAAATTATCAGCGTTTACAACAACATGGCAGTATAATCATTTGTTTATATTTGCTCGTGGATCAGGAGTCAAGATTTAATTAGATGTTTTGCACTAAGCTGTGCCTAATCAAAATTTATTTCAGTCAGACACACACAGGAATGATCCGAACTACATTTATGCGATCAGATTTCCTTGGGAATTAAACTAGAATTGCTTATGTATTGATTGTGTCTTGGGTAGCCTAGTCGTTGTAGTTACCCAAATGTGCTGCGTAGAGTTGTGTCCATTGGGCGTGCAACGATCCCATGATCATCGTTCGAATCTCAGATTCGCCCTGATTTTGTTTCTCGGCACAATGGGGCGGTCAGGTAGCCTAGTGGTTAAAGCGTTCGCTCGTTACGCCGAAGACAGGGTTCGCATCCCGACATGGGTATGATGAAGTTTGTTTCTTGTGTACCCCGCCGTGATATTGCTAGAAAATTTCTAAAAGTATCGTAAAAACCACACTCACTCACTCACTCACTCACTCACCCACCCACTCACTCACTCACTCACTCAGCACACTGCCCTCATGGGTTTCACCAACGTCGAAAGCATACATCAACAACGTCCTGCGATAAAAGACACGCTGTGATATAGCTAATCGTTCAATCGGCGTTTTAAAACCCAACTCACTCATTATTTTGTTGATTTTTGGTTCTGAACAATTACTATATTTTGTATCCTCAGATTGCCATGAAATATACCAAGCTGGGTACCGAACGAGCGGACTCTACAACATTCAAGCGAAGGGCGCCAGATTGATGACTGCGGTGTACTGTGAAATGGTCAACAAGACTGGCTATCTTGTCCTCCACCGTCGCATAGACGGGCTCCTTAACTTCAACAGGCGTTGGTTGGAGTACAAACACGGCTTTGGTAACCCTTACGGCGAGTTCTACATAGGCAACGAGTTAATCCATCTCCTTACCAAACAGAAGCAGTACATCTTGAGAGTGGACATGTGGGATTGGGAGGGAAACAAGGCGTATGCTGAGTACAGCGTCTTTACCGTCGAGGATGAGAGCAGCCATTATCGTCTCCATGTCAACGGTTACCGAGGAGACGCGGGTGACTCGTTGAATTACCATGACAACATGGCCTTCAGCACGGAGGACGTTGACAACGACCTCCACACCCGGCACTGCGCGGCAGAGAACAAGGGAGGATGGTGGTTCAACAGCTGCTACTCCAGCCATCTGAACGGCGTCTTCCACACGGCGTGGTACTCGCAGTCACGCTCCAACTACGCCGACGGCGTGGTGTGGTACACGTGGAAGGAATCAGAGTTCTACTCCCTGAAACAAGCGGAGATGAAGATAAGACCTAAGGTACCCTAGATGGAAAGAGCGAGCGAAAGAACGTTAGAGAAAGAATGAAGACTATGACGTTCTGGCAATTTTAACCACCCGTAGCCATCATGACATTGATGTCAAATCGTTGTGTGCAGGTTTGTTGTGAGAATGGCTTGATGGAAAAAGATAATATATAATTCGTTTGAATTGCAAGTGGAAGAAAATACTTTTGTTAGGGAAGTGATCCTTTGTAGAAGGTAAGATTGATTAAAAGATGAAAGAAATTATATACAACTTTTATAGGAATGGAACTATAATTAGAAGATGGTTTCCTGTAATGATGATCACTGTAGCTTAGAACTAGTAATTCTAAGGGAATCTCAGAAGGTACTCGCGTCGTCATGTAGCTTTGTATAAACTGAAAGGCAACAGAAAGTATACCGGTTGTTTTATGTAATTGAAAATTGAAAGAACTGTTGTTAAATTTGATTATTTTTATTTAACCATCAATCATCCCTGCAACAGTTTGTAGAAAAGAAATCTGTGGCTGGGTAATTTGGTGTAAACATAGTCGGTAACAAATGAACCACATGACGCCTGCCATGTTTGAAATGTACATTTGTGCCGAAAAACGCAAATTTATTGATTTTCAAAGATAAGATGTCTAAGATGTCAATCAGCAGTTGTGTATTATGCGTAAAAATGGAGATGTATTCTTTGAGTGCTGACTGGGCGCCATTACACATAATTTTTTGGCATATAATATGGATAACTTAAGTAATTTTCAATTGAAAATCAAAGATATGGTGAAATCATCTGAGAGGTATAGTTTCTTTTGCTCCTCAGTTTATGGACCTATAATTCAGTTTTGTTATTGTTTGGTTTGTCTTTTTTAACATAATAACATACAGATGTGCAGATGTGCATTATACCTTTTGCACTACATGATTCTTTGTTTGCTATGCTATCAACTTTCATAATTTCATACGCATTAGGATACACCAGCTTCGTTTAGTTTGTTTAGTTCGTTTACTTGGCGTACGTTTTCGATCACGTAAAGGAGATTGTTAGACTTTCACCGCCGGCAGACACGAATATTTGGGATAATGGCGTTATTTTGTGTGTGTATATTTGTGACATTATCTGTCATTTTTCACGAATGATAATATTGTGTACATCAGTCTTTCTATAATAATCCTTTGTGTATTAATCTGTTGAAGGGTTTCGAAAGCTTTCGCTCACTTTATAGAAAGAATCATGTATACACTATGACGATCAATTCTACCTCTTTTAAATATTTAACAAGATAGAAAATGTGAAATTTGACCTTTGAAAATTTGACTGCATGTTAACATAATAATAGGCATTATTTGATTTAAGAAAATAATATATGACAGTAGAACTCTATTAGTTCGACACCGTGGGTCTTAAAGTCCGCTCTTCGGAGGATAACCGTTGGGTTTGCCTATACATATATGTTATATATCTTACCACATTTGCATTTTCGTTAATCTGGCAACAGTACCACCCGAATGAACTGAGTGTTTCTTTGCATACCCAACTATTAGTCTGGTCTTAACTGGGAAAGGGTGCACGGGTGGCCCAGTCGTCTAAGGCGCCGCGATTCGCTGTGCAGAGTTGCGTCCCTTGGGCACGCCAGAAACCTATGATTGTGGGTTCGAATCCCGGTTCGCCCCGATTATGTTTCTAGGTTTGTCAGCACCATACCCGTGCTCGTGGGTTTCACCGAAGTGGTAAATGTCTGAGACCAGCATCACTTCGGGCTTTCCTTCCACATTACGCTGACACGCCGCGATATAACTGGAATATTGTTAAAAGCGGCGTTAAACCCAACTCACTCACTCACCCACTTAACTGGGAGAAACAGATGTTCACAGACCCATGACATGATGATGATTAAAGAAGGCTCGACCAATAATGCATTGATATGGCTTTTCTCTGTTTTTCTGCTGTCATATTAATCGATTTAACCATGTACATCATCTGTGAAAATATAGATACAGTAGCATTTTTCATAAGCCGGAAATTGTACATGTAGTAAGGGCCATAATACTAACAGTAAATTGTTCAATAATGGAACAAGTTTGACCAGTTATGACAAAACGTATACAAAGTGCGTTATCTTAGGTTTTGAGCTATCCTCTTAATACGTTCACTATAGACATTTTGATACTTACGTTTAATCAACATGAGAGTGACTTCCAAACCATTATCATTTTAATACGCTGTATCAAAATCACAATACAGTAAAACCTCTACATACCGGACTGTCACAATTGGGAACTTCTGTTATGTAATTATTTGTTTGTTTGTTGTTTAACGTCGCATTAAGCAGGGTTCCAGCTTTATGTCGGCGGTCTTTAAAAAATCGAGTCTGGACCAGACAATCCAGTGATTGACATCATGAGCATCGATCCACGCAATGGGACAGGATGACATGCATCAACCAAGTCAGCGAGCCTGACCACCCGATCCCGTTAGTCGCCTCTTACAAGCATGGGTTGCTGAAGGTTAATTGCAACCCATCTTTACGGAGGTTCCATGTAATTAATATATATTACTACGTATCAATGAATCGTTAGTCCGAACATGTATTAATCCGGTTTCACAGGGAACAGATTCACGAAGTTTCAGAGTATATATGTTACTTAATCAATTGTTTTCTGTTTATGTTATTAAATTTAGTTTCAGAGGGATGTAATCCTCAAAAGCTGAATACGAGTTATTAGATTTTCCAAACAATCTTTTCTTATCTTGTGAGATTCTCGTATACTAATCGTACACTAATCGTACACTAATCGTACACTAATCGTACACTAATCATACACTAATCGTACACTAATCATACACTAATCGTACACTAATCCGCCGGGCAAAAGTAAGTACACACTTAAAAATTAGATTTGACCAAAAAAAACTAAAAACCCCATTACCACCCTGAAATAATCGCCGTCACACTCAAAACATAACTATGATACCCGTATCAAAAACATCACCATCGAATAACCATTTTCTTTTTAGGCATCATCAAACATAGGTGCATACTTTCTTTTTCCAAGCAGTTTACTAAAACTATGTTTTTTTAAAATACGTGAATTCAATTAAGGATTTACTAACAGTAAATATGGTGCTCCCTGACACTTTTGACTAATATGGTTGAGTATTGTTAATGGGTATAGATGTGTTGTTTGAAGTTTTGCCATTAACACTACACCTGTGTATAGTCGTGTTTGGTTAGTTATTTTAAGCTGTGATAATTACCAGGCTTCGTGCTATCGATCAGACACGCTGTTTTGCGGAACTGGTTTGTTTGTTGATATCGTGTATAAAACGTGTTTTAAATGTTATTTCAAATATTGCACACAGGGTAGAGTTTGTTGTAGGTGATGCTGCACATGTACAAATGTATATATTTTTTATGAAAGTTTCAGTCAAATACATTCCCCAAGTGTAAAACATTGAGATGTTTTTTTGAATTTCCCTCTTTTTCATACATTCCATAACGTAATTATATCTGAGAAAACACTAAATATATTTTCAAACCCATTTTTGGACACGAAACTGTTTTTCATTGGCGTTGTATAGTGGAAGCGTTATTGCGACAGTACGAGGTGGAGCAGGGTCTTCACACGTAGCTTTACGTCAGTAGCCAATATTCCTCGTTCTTGTACACCTGACAGTAACAGAATGTGTTTTGAAATGTACGATTAAATCTCGAATCCCATGTTCAGAAGAAATTAACATTTTGTTAAATCGCTTCCATAACTTGTGAACTTCATTCCTCACTTAACTCGTGTTGCTTGTCTCTAGTACTTATGTGTGTATGTATTTTCGTCCTAAATTACAGTTGTATTTTGAGATTTTGCGACTAATAACTGCCATATAATTATAAATTACGTTCCATGAACCACAGCATTTAACTTGATGAACTGTTGCCATGCAAATTCTAATTTTCTGTTATTCCATGTCAATGTGGATTTTAGATGTCCAATTGTTACCTAAAAAATGCCACTCTTGCATTTATCCAAACAGTGTTTTTGTAAATAAAAGGTTCAAAGATGAAATTTCTTAGTTTTATTTCATATACAAACATTACATGGTCTTTGAAAGAAACAGAATCAACCATACAATCCTATGCCATGACTGAAGATTGTCTGGCATAGCGAAGTTCAAGATACGCCTGTCCTATAACACTGAATGTAACACAAGGATGACTATCACAGATGGACATTTAGATTAAATTGTCTACAACGTATATTAAAAATATTAAATTACAGTGTGTATCTATTGTTGAAATGGCAAACATATCGTATTTAAGTAAACATGCAGTCACGTCCAAATCCAAACCAGAACAGAGCCAGTGCAAGTTTGATATTCAGTCTACGAAAATACAGATTCTATTTGAAGCATCGTTTCCTAATATCCCACATACATGCTTTTATTCAGGAAAAACGGTGAACGTGTGTGAGGAAATGGCGGTCAATGCTGAAAAGTCATTGATTAAACGTGTTGACAAGCACACACAACAACAGCAGACGTTCCGCGTGATATGTTCCAGTGAAATCTATTCACAAAATGCTATGTAATAACACTTTGTAAACTATAATAATATGTAAAATCCACTTCTGCACTGTTACGTCCAATGTCCATTTACGGGCAATATACTAGTATTCAGAAAACTCGGATAAAAAGAAGTATTCAAGCGAAATCTCTATTCATGAGTCGGAAATAGATTGGATTATTGTCAACATGTCAATAACATATCACCGGCTAATGACGGAGGTATCGTGTATTTGCAAATTAGGAAAGTTCCTGCTATGATGTCACTGTTGCAAGTGAGAAGTGTTCTTGTTGGCATGGCATTGTTCCAGGTAGTGAGTTTTCTCGTTGTCACGGCAACACTGCAAGTAAGGGGTGTTCCTGATGCCATGACATTGTTGCACGTAAAGGGTGTTCCTGATGCCATGCCATTGTTGCACGTATAGGGTGTTCCTGATGCCATGACATTGTTGCAAGTAAAGGGTGTTCCTGATGCCAAGACACTGTTGCAAGTAAAGGGTGTTCCTGATGCTATGACATTGTTGCAAGTAAGCGGTGTTCCTGGTGCCATGACATTGTTGCAAGTCAGGGGTGTTCCTGATGCCATGACATTGTTGCAAGTAAGGGGTGTTCCTGATGCCATGGCATTGTTGCAAGTAAGGGGTGTTCCTGATGCCTTGACATTGTTGCAAGTAAAGGGGTGTTCTTGATGCCATGACATTGCTGAAAGTAAGGTGTGTTCCTGGTGCCATGACATTGTTGCAAGTAAGGGGTGATCCTGATGTCATGACATTGTTGCAAGTAAAGGGTGTTCCTGATGCCATGACATTTTGCAAGTAAAGGGTTTTCCTGATGCCATGACATTGTTGCAAGGGGTGTTCCTGATGCCATGACATTGTTGCAAGTAAGGGGTGTTTCTGGTGCCATGACATTGTTGCAAGTAAGGGGTGTTCCTGATGCCATGACATTGTTGCAAGTAAGGGGTGTTCCTGATGCCATGACATTGTTGCAAGTAAAGGGTGTTCCTGATACCATGACATTGCTGCAAGTAAGGGGTGTTCCTGGTGCCATGACATTGTTGCAAGTAAAGGGTGTTCCTGGATTGTTCTTGTCGAACGAATACGAATTGCACTTGAATAGCGCATCTTGACATTGTTACATGAAAAGAGTATTTTTGCTACCATTTCATTGTTCCAAGGAGGGAATGTTCTCGTTGTCATGACACTATTGCAAGTAAGGGGTGTTCTTGATGACATTGTTACAGTGTTGCGCACCCGTTATCACCTCCATGTGAAACATGACAATGTCGCAAGTACTAAAAGGTCATGCTGCCCAGCTACCGTTGCAAGTAAGAAGTTTTCTCGTTGGCATGACCTTGTTCGTAAGGAGTGTTCATGTGGTTACTGACACGCAGATTATTGCTGCCATGCATGAAGTGTTTGCAACAATCATAGAAGTATCCTGCCTGTTGTGCTTTATTGACAGGTTGGGAGGAGAACTGGATCTGGCATGTGTCGTGACAACCGCTGGAGAAGTTGGCGAGTCTCTGAAAATAGGAATCAATAATGTACCGGGAAAGTTGGAACTGAATGAACCTATAGTGTCACGGGAGACTGGGAACCATTGGCTGACCCTCCAGCCTATATACATATATATCACACCACCGTTTGCGAACATAATTGAGGGCCGGATTAATCGATGACATTCAGTATTCCGAGGATACCTCGGCACTTAATGGAGGATTACCTTTCAGTTTCTCTTCAAGGGCCCCCTTGGCGGTCCTCTCCTGTTCGATTTCAGACCATAGGTTCTCTACAAGAGAACACAACAGTAATGTGTCAGCTTACAGTATCTCATCCCAGCTGTATAAAGAAAGAGTTCGGCCTAAATAGGTTTCTAGGGTTGTCGGCACCGTACCGTGGATCATACATTCCCACATAATAATATAACTGTTCAAAGCGGCGTAAAACCAAACTCACTCACTCACTCAAAATGTCGTATTTGAGATAGAAAGAGAGAGAGAGAGAGAGAGAGAGAGAGAGAGAGAGAGAGAGAGAGAGAGAGAGAGAGAATGACAAGTTAATACTTCTAATACTTCTGTCAATGGATCATTGTGCATTGGCTATTCATTCTCAACTCACTGGGGAGTATACAACTATACAATGACGATCTATATATTGTTCTTACTTTTTCAGTGGGAGTAACTGATGTGTTGGGTGTTGGGTGTTGTTGGGTGAGTGTGTGTGTTGGGTTTAACACCGCTTTAGACAGTATCCTTGTTATGCCACGGCGAGCTATTGTGAGTAGATAGCCCATCTGAGGCAGGTGGCGGACGTCTTGCAATCTGGTGAAAGCCCCGAGCAGAGGTGCAAAAAGCAAGCATACACTGTAGGCGTCAGTCATTGGAGCCGACCAACCATAAATATCAGTCTAGCATTGAAATATTCTTGCAAATGGACGTACGTGAAGGTCTTTAAACATTTATGTCTCCCACATAACCATCCATCTCGGTAACCCGACATGGGCCAAGTGTACATGACTAACACAACTTAACCACCACATGACCTCATTCATCAAACACTGACTATAGAAGTTGTCTGGTCTCGGCTTGATGCATGTAATGAGGGATTTTACCATCCTTTGAAATAAGAACAATTTTTGACATTAGACATTCTCAGGTTTCATAATGAGAACTTGACAAGTTTCATTGTCAAGGATCAATTCTACTAAGAAGACTGAATACATCATGTATCATCCATTGAGCAAATTTATTTCATTTCAGTATTGTCTGTGATCTTAATAAAAGAAGCTTAATTTAAAAAAAAAGAAAAAAAAAGAAAAAAAAGTGTACATGTCAGCTCATCTATAACTAACCTTTGATCGAGCAGAACTGCCGGGCAAATTCCTCTCTGAGTTCCAGTTCCTTGAGGGCCCTAAGCCGCAGCATGTCTACAAATATGAGTGAACTGAGTTTAACGCCGCTTTGAGCAGTAGATGTATTTAGGTTATATCATGGCGTACTTGCTGAGGGCAGGGGGACATCCACGTGTGCCCCCGCGTTTGCCTCATGGTGAAACACATGCACACGAGCCCACGACCACCAGATCCTGTCGTGGCTAAGGGACGCAACTCTTTATATATAGCGTGTTCCGATGCAAAGACCGCTGGGCAACCGTTGCCAATGTCTCCAATTTGAGATCACGACCATGGTCCACTTGCACAAAGCGATCTTAGTGCTACGACTATAGTATGCTTATGTTAAAGTATGGGAGTTACAATCATCTTAGCGCTAAGATCGCTTTGTGCAAGTGGGCCCATGTCTCCAAAAAATGAGGCCAATGATGATATCACTGAGGGTATGTAACAATTTGATCATGATGACACACACAAATCATCACTGCAATAATCTGCATGTATCTTTTGGAAAAGAGATTGTCAAAAGGTTGCGTTGGAGGAAGTTCAAGGGTTAAATAAAATTTAGTTTTATCCAGTTATCACCGGGGTCGGTTTCCAAACTCACTCTGTATCTTCTTGTGATCTTTCTCCGCATCTTTTCGCTGTGTCATCGCCTTGGAAACGGCATTCCGCAGAGAATCTGTGATGGCAAATAAAACAGGTTGATGTTTATTACTGGTATTTTGTAAACGCATTTAGAATTAATGAATATCAGAATGATTATGTGGCATTAATGTTACAGTAATATTTGAGATTATATATCTCAGTGGGTGATAATGGTAGTTTTGCCCGTGCAGTACAACAGCTCAGAGTATATATTGCCTTGTCCTATTGGTACGCCGTTGGCCAGCAATCAAAGCGAAAGAAGTCTTCTTGACAGGTCGTGATGGGAAACACACCCAACTGGCCCGCTATATCCCTGTGCACACAGAAGAACCTAATATTAGTCAACTGTCTGACTGGATGTGATACTGTGAGCTCTTTCTTTGGACATGGAAAGTGTACTGCCTACCACCTAATGATGCAGAAGGCTGGTCAGTTTCAACCTCATGCTCTGTTGGGCCTTGAAGAAGGCTTGATCGCACAAGAAGTAACACAATCAGCCATGAAATTTGTGGGCGCCATGTATGACAAGTCAGACAGTGCTTCGTTAAATGCACTACATTGTGAAAAGACAGTCAAGAAGAACATTCTTGAAAAGACACTTCCACCAGTTGAAGATGCCTTCCATCTGCATCTCCTTGTTCTTATCAGCTTCTGGTATGAAGACAGACCGTTGTTTCCATGGCAACACTTCATCATGCTACTACACATGGATATGAAAGAAGCTCCGATGGACCTGGACTCCAGCCCAAAATGATGAATCAGTCACCAGCTGCCCCAGAGCTGCTACATGATGACCTTGTGTGCGAGTGCAATCCAGATGGATGTGGAGCAGAATGTTCATGCTTGGACAACGGACAAACATGTACTGCGGCCTATCACTGTACATCCTTGGTAGATGAAGATGGATTGTTCTGTGCAAATACCCCGACTCTTTCTGCATTAGTTAGGGACACATCCGAGTCTGACCCAGAGTAAATTGTGTGAGAGCGGAACATTGACACTATAACAATAATGTTTTGGCGATAGCATGCGGGTGTTTCTAGCATTCAATATGGATGGTTCACAGATAATTGTTGTGGTTGATATATAAATTGCAATAAATTTAACAAAATGTCACTACCATGATGGCACTTAGATGTAACAGGGAATAAAACGTTGCATGTATTGAACACTGAAATTTGTGGTTGACCAAACCATGTTTTTCATTTTGTGAATTAAATATCTAAAAATATGCCCGTCTAAAACATTGACAAAAGGATCCATAACCAGCTAGGGGGTGGGGTTTTTCGAAATGTCATCATTTGGACAGAATGTCATCATGGGTTTTCAGAATCAGTAATAATAGGGCATCAAATTTTACCATACGAGAAAATGTGGTTATGCTGGTTTGGGTAGCGAAAATTGACAGTGAAACAACATCTTTAGAACAGATGCATAGTTTCTGTAAAAAAGGTTACCACATCATTTTGAAAAAGATATCGTTATCTTCGAGATAGTCAGTTCGACATAACGGGTTTATATATTTTTAACAGTGAGTGAGTTGAGTGTTACGTGTTACGCAGTATCATGGCGGGGGACACCAGAAATGGGCTTCATATATTGTACCTATGTGGGGAATCGAACCCGGGCCGTTAGGCTACCCTTTAGGCTATCCATTAGGCTACTCCTTTATAATAGGAACAGTTGATAACCCAGATTACCCTGAACAACTATTATAGTAATGTGAAGTTCAGAACGTTGAAATTGAAGATGTCAGTTTACAACTCCCTTGGTGCCGAGGCAAACTATTCCACCACGTAGTGTAACATAGGCATACTATTAATAGACGCTACGTACTAAAAATAAGTTCTGCACAGAACTAACAAACATATGTTCCAAAGAGATCAGTGTTTAATTGTAATGGTCAGGTTATTGGTTGAATGAGGTGTCCAGTTCCTCGGATATTACAAATAAGTAGATCATCGTAAGGTGTCATCTTGCTTCTATTTATGAGAGAAAATTGAAACGTACAGTGTTGCGTACCTGCAAATTTAAATACGCTAAATTGGGTTTGGAATCGAACGCGCAGCGAAAGGCTTCAAATGTTGAATTGAACACGGCTAAATCAGTTGGTAACCTTGCTCTACATTGAAAACACATTGTGTTTAGACATCCCACCTTCATGTTGGGGGTTCTCACTTTCCGTACTCTCCGATAAATATAAACTTCTGCGGTGATGCGAACGTCAAATCAGCTGTATCAATCTGGGGTAGTTATTGTGATTTGAAACCTCTGCTTCACCAATCAGAATTGAGCTTTTTCCAAACTCACGGTAGATTCATGTTTCATCGATTAGTGTTAAATTAGCGAGCTATCACCTATTGGCATCAGTTGAAGTTGTTCCATGTCCAGACTCCCACTCTTGGCAGCATCAGCAGCTACTGCATCGGAAACGGAAAGCAAAGTCTTGATAATGTGTACACATAATACAAACTCCATATCGATATTCTTCAGTAAAAGCTAAATGATTAGTAAAGAAAGACAGTATCATATTTACTGTTAGTCAATCCTTAATTGAGTTCACGTAGATGAAAAAACGCCGTTGTAGTAAACTGCCGGGGAAAAGAAGATATACATCAATGTTTGATGGTGGTTAATAATGAAACAAACAAGAAATGGTTATTCCATGGTGATGTGTTTGATACGGGTATCAAAGTTATGTTTTGGACCTTTAAGTTGCAGTGTTTCGGCGACTTTTTTCAGCCAAGTAGCAGTTTGATAACGTTTGTAAAATCAATTTTCGAGTGTCTTCTGCCCGGCAGTGTTAATCTTATTCCCAATTATATTGTATGAACGAATTTGCGGATTTGGGAATTATAAGTACGTAAATGCAATAATGCAATAAATCCCTATTGTTTTACGTTCATGTAGACGCCCCCGACATCATTTGTCCGGAAAGTGGATTCTGGCACTGATGAAGTTTCATTGTATTATACATTATACATTATCTACTTCTATTATGGACACTAGGATTGTGGCAAATAATACGTACTAATTTAAAAGCGCTATTGTGACAAGTTTTCATTTCAATAGATTAAAGATTTATAGGTGCCTCTACAGTTAATTATTTATTGACTGGAAAGTGAATCTGTTTTGTCCTAGATTATCGTGATCTCAGATATGTCATGTTTCCCCCATTAAAGAACCCATTATCTTTAACTCGAGAATAGAGGTCAACTTCAAGCTCTTGACAGCGATAGCCCGTTCGCGAAACTCTATATTATCGCTGCGGACTGTCGAAGCGCCGAATACTCTTTCCCTGTCTAAATTGTATTGTTTGTTGTCAGCTTGAAATTCTATTTCATTTCATCCATGGTGTAAGGAGGAACCTCGGAACCTTTCCGTAGTCGGCGATCGCGAAACCACTATGATTCAACAAACACACGTCAAATATTCGAAAAAGTAATCCTTCAGTAAACCTTTCCCCAAGTCAATATTATGTCATTCCCACTAAAATATACATTGTCGATTTGAGGGAAAACGTTTAAGATGTTTGTAGGGGCCACGTCCACACTGATGGCCGCCGTGACAACGGCAGAGCAACGAAGGTTCACGCACGATCGGACCCCGGACCTTCCGCTCTCCGGGTGGACGCTCAGCCACTAGGCCACGGAGGCGGTCACATTTGAAATAATAGAGAAGACCAGTAAATATGTATTGTTTGAATGGACGCTCGTGTTTACTTGCGGTTTTAGTACACAGTTGACGGCCGCTTGGAATCATATTTCAGTTATATCAAGGCGTGCCAGCTTTATGTGGAAGGAAATAAAAAATAAGGCATGTCTTTGACGTTCACGGCTTTAGCACGCTACTTACAAACCAAGGTTCAGTATCGGTGCGAGTATGGGATTCAGCCCCACCATTACAGGATCCTGGCACGTCTAAGGGAAGCAACACAGCGAAATGCGGCACCTCTTCTATACTGTAAATCAATACAAAGGTCGCAGAACATCTGCAACGGATGACCATGCGAGATGAAATCAACCGGAGTGTCAGCTTGTTGAGTGTTTTTGTTACTTTGACTGTCTGTTGTGCTCACGCTATTGACCATTGGATAATAAGACGTGACACATCTCACCAGTTCCCGGTTTAGAATTGGCCCCCACCTATGCTGTTTGAAGAGGCGACAGAATTGATCAGATGTTCAGGCTCGGAGACGTAGCTGATGGCGTGTCAACGATACCTCGACGGCGTGAATCGTTGCTCATAATATCAATCACTCGATTGTCTTGTCCAGGCGCGATTTGCTTTTATTCCTGGAAAATTCCTGAGTGCGGCGGTAAGCAACAAACATGCGCGCACGCACGTACGCACGCGCACACACACACATACACACACGAGATTCCTTAGCTAGCGCTTTCTACAGGGTGGCCCAGTGGTCTATGGCGCTGAGCAAAATGGCCGTGCCAGGGTCTGCTGATCGTGAGTTCGAATCCGCACCGCCATCAGATGATTACACAATGGTGGTTAACATTTACAGCCACTTAGGGCTTACGGCACGCAATAACAAGCCTGTGAAATGAAGTTCACTGTGGGATTAATAAATCCAAATCACACACGTCATTAGACCCTATCTGGAGCTAACACTGGCGTACATCCCCAATGTATGTTCTTTCTCTTGCACAATGGTTTATTTTGTTCTGGTATCATGGTAAAATGTTATTTGATAACGATTCCCGGGAAGGATTGGCATTTGCTGGAACGTCAATCGTGATGACGTGTTTGCTATGCGCAACTTGGGATTTCTGGAACTGAAAGTGTTCCGCTAACCCGATTACAGTGTAAAACATGCAACTGTGCCTGGGATATTCACACGCTCAGTGTAGTAGTAGTTACATTACTGTGTGGCCATTGTCAGTAAACACTTCCACGAGTCGGCTACTCCGTGAAATCGATACAATTAGGTCAATATTGATGAGTGTGTGTGTCTGTGTGTGTGCGTGCGTGCGTGCGTGGGTGGGTGAGTTTTGTTGTTTAACGCCGCACTCGAGCTATAATGACGGCGGTCGGCAAATAATCGAGTCTGGACCGGACAATCCAGCGATTGACATCATGAACATCGATCCACGCAATTGGGATAGGATGACATGCATCAACCAAGTCAGCGAGCCTGACCACCCGACCCCGTAAGTCGCCTCTTACGACAAGCATAATCGCCTTTTATGGCAAGCATGGGTTGCTGAAGACATATTCTACCCCTTCGATCTACGCAATTAGGATACGATGACTTGCATCGACCAAGTCAACTAGTCTGACGTCCATATCCCCTCAGTCGCATCCTACTTTCACACCGCCAAGTACACTACGATGTACAACATATGAACCAACTTAATGTACACAGTTTATATACAGTGAAACCATGTAATTCCAAAGGATACCGCTCCTCGTAACACTTGCCAGTGGTGTCCTTTTTTTGTCCCACTAGATCTGAACAATTCTACAGAAAAGGACAATATTCAGAAAGTTTTATCAAAGGCCTATGTCATACACCAAACGTAGAGGTAAGACCCACAGCGTCCACAAGGACTCCACAGAGGATTTGTAGGAAGCTTGTGTTCAATATTTATGCACGAGCAAGTCTTGTAGATATATGCCGATTTTCGGAAGAGATGCAGTTAACAAGACAGTACAAACGCTATGAAAAGGCATCTTTGGTAACAAATTTTCTTTTAGTTAGATTTTCTAGTACTACTACTACTACTACTACTAGTAGTAGTACTTCTACTACTACTATTACTACTACTACTATTACTACTACTACTACTACTACTACTACTGACCCGTGAAGATTCCGGGGTAAAATAGGTCTTCAGCAACCGATGCTTGCCGTAAAAGGCGACTATGCTTGTCGTAAAAGGCGACTAACGGGATCGGGTGGTCAGGCTCGCTGACTTGGTTGATACATGTCATCGATCCCAATTGCGTGGATCGATGCTCATGATATCAATCACTGGATTGTCTGGTCCAGACTCGATTATTTACAGACCGCCGTCATATAGCTGGAATATTGCTGAGTGCGGCGTTAAACAACAAACCAACCAACCAACTTCTACTACTTGTAGAAATACACACGTGTTATATCCTCTTCCGTCGATTCTTTACATGGCGCCTGTGCCTCCTCCTGAAAATGACATGAAGGCTTTGGTTTACGGCACTGAAGGTATGGAGTATACTAAATCATTACAGTAAGATGCCATGTACGGTCAGCGTAATAATTGTAACAAGCTGTGTCAGATTGTAGCATCTGTATTGTCTTAACACAACACTTGAGCATGTAGTCTCTCGAATAGTGAGTGAGTTTGATTTTTACGCCGCTTTGTACCCATGTCGGGAATCGAACCCGGGTCTTCGGTGTGACGAACGAACGCTTCAACAACTAGAGGGGGGGGGGGGGGGGGGGGGATCACGGGTGGCCCAGTTGTCTAAGGCGCCGCGATTCGCTGTGAGTTGCGTCCCTTCGGCAAGCCAGAAACCTATGATTGTGGGTTCCCCGATCGCCCCGATTATGTTTCTAGGTTTGTTAGCACCATACCCGTGCTCGTTGGTTTCACCGAGTATGTGAAGACCTGCATCAGTCTCTCGAATAGGGGGTTGGGGATGCGGGTGAGGGTTGGGGTTCGGGGTGGAGGTGGGGGAGGGTGCACAGGTGGGGCCGCAATTCACTGTACAGAGTTGCATCCCTTGGGCACGCCAGAACCATATGATCTTGGGTTCGAATCCAGGTTCGCCGTGATGATGTTTCTAGGTTTGTCAGCACCATACTGCTCGTTGGTTTAACCAAAGTATAAACGTTTGAGGTCTTCATCACCTAGGGCCATTCCTCCGAAATTAAGCTGACACGCCGTGATATAACTGGAATACTCTTCAAAGCGGCGTTACTCACTCACTCTCGAAAAATCATAAATTTAACACATTCAGTGTCATACATACTACATCGATGTATCGTTGATAAAATATACATGTATCATAAAACCCTAATACACATGAAGGAATAACAATTTCTATATAGATGTATAAGTAATACCATAATAGGTAACAGATGTACTATATAGTATCATAATACTATAATGATGTATCATAAATATTACATAAATGTATCACAAATGCATTACAGGGGTGTTGTAATCCCGCATAGGGAGTGAGTGTAATTTTACGCCTCTTAGCACTATTCCAGCATTATCACGGCGAGGGACACCACAAATGGGCTTCACACATTGTATCCATTTGGGGAATCGAAAGTGACGAATATCATATGGATGTACCATGCATACCATGAAGAACTATCATGCACACCTTTTGGAAATACCATGTATACCATATAAAGGTATATATGTGATGCGACTTATTTTTCACAAAATTGTACACGTGCACATCTCTGTGCATATAAGTCTGCATGTTTATACTTGTACATGTACAAAATTGTATATATTTACCGTATTGTATGTATATGGGCCTATGGCCAGAATACAATAAATGATGATGATGATGATGATGATGATGAAAGGTATCCTGCATGCCGTAATGAGGGGTCGTTGATGTCATATACCGGTATCAGATTTACCACATAAAGGTACCATACATTTCATATAGAGGTATCATTTATACCATTAAGCCGCCCATTGATGGTGCAGGGCCAGCTGGACGGTAACAAAACCTCTGACTCTCGAAGTTTCGTACTGCTGGTTATGCAAGGACACACTAACCGTTAGGCAGCGGACACGTATGTCATCCTTCTTGTAAGATCTTATGTGGAAATGGTTGCATGGAAATAACCTAAAATGCCAAACACCAAATGCAAACAAATGCACCAACGGTGGTGATGCTGCGACGTTTTCAGAGAAAAGGCCAAATGCTACGTTTTCGGAGAAAAGGCCAAATGCTACCTTTTCACACAAAAGGCCAAAACAGGCACGTTGATGATCGTTATACGAACAATGTTCCCATTGTGTTCATGAAATTCGGAACGACAAAGACTGGGCATCCTCATTAATTTGAAAGTACTCATATTACAAACAGCACTAATGAGATAGTCTAGACAACGCCGAGGGCAGCGCAACGGAGAAACTAGTCCTGTCGGAAATGTCCCTGGAGGTTCGCTACGTCAAAGGAAGACCATTGATAGCATTACGCCAGTAATGTGGGGTGTTGTTTGTTTGTTCGTTTGTTTTCACTCATCGATATTCAAACTACCTGAAGTGTGTAAATAATCGAGTCTGAACCAGAACAAATGGCTAACATCGATCTACGCCATTTGGATACAATGACATGCATCAACGTCATGTTTAAAGCCGCACTCAGCAATATTCCAGCTATATGACGGTGGTGTGTATATAATCGAGTCTGGACCAGGCATTCTAGTGATTGACATCATGAGCATCGATCCACGCAATAGGGATACGATGACATGCATCCACCAAGTCAGCGAGCCTGACCACCCGACCCCGTTAGTCGCCTGTTACGACAAGCATAGTCGACTCTTACGACAACCATAGGTTGCTGAAGACCTATTCTACCCCGTAATCATCACGGGGCTATTGCGTTGTAGTGGGAAGGAGAGTGGTTAAAGTCTTCGCTCGTAATGCCATACACTTGAGGTTGAATCTATGCAGATGATTGATACTCTGAAACCTTGCTATTATTACTCCATTATCTCGATGTAACGTTTATACGATTTAACTAAATGGTCACTGTAGAATCCGTATTGACAAGAGGCTTTTACATCAGTACTCCGCTTCACTCGAACTATGTTTATCTCGACATAAACTGCCGGGCAAAAGAAAACGTGGATTTGGCCAAAACATTGCAGACGATATGACAAAGTTACTAAACGGAAAACATTCGCTGAATCATTATAAACATCAGGGCCCCGTTCCACAAAGTGATCTGAGCGCTAAGTCGATCTCGTAACTCCCATTCTTTAACACTGACTTACGACAATCCTAGCTCTAAGATCGCTTTGTGGAACGGGGCTCTGGTCCAAAACACAGCCATGGTACCCGCATCAAATACATCACCAACAAATAACAATTTCTTGTTTGTTTCATTTTTAGCCACCATTAAACATGGGTGCATACTTTCTTTTGCCCTGCAGTATATATTGAATGGTTACCATGGTTATCGAGGTTTCGTTATATATTATTATACATTAACATATGACTAACATCAATGTTAGGATAATAATATTCAAATAAATATTTCGTATTTTAGGCATGCGTTCATGTAAAATGGAAATTAAGAGTAACTCTGACTTAATTGTGACTTGTTAATTGGAATAAAGTGTCATCAACCATACGGAGTGTTTCCTTTGTGGTATTTATTTATTTATTTATTTATCAATTATCATTTTGACATTTCTGTAAAACAACATCAGCTTGTAAGAATTTATTTTATCTTTCCAGTCATCAGTTTTAAATTTCTGCGAAACAATATGGGTCATGTGACATGGGACACATTGTTCGGTGCAAGCGTCATGTCACACTGCGCTTCAATACAACATAAATCAATTTGGAAATGCCAATCTTGCTCCTGTGAGACATGGGGACCTTTTGATTAATGGACAAGTCGCATCGTGGGATGAGGCGGCGGAATAACGGCCAACATTGCAGGAAACGGAGCAATGAAAGTTAAGGAATCCTAGAGTGAGTGAGTTGGGTTTAACGTCGCTTTTAACATTATTCCAGTTATATCACGGCGTGTCAGCTTAATGTGGGAGAAAAGCCCGAAGTGATGCAGGTCTCAGACGTTTACCACTTCGGTGAAACCCACGAGCATGGGTTTGGTGCTGATATACCTAGAAACATAATCGGAGCGAACCGGGATTCGAACACACAATCATAGGTTTCTGGCGTGCCCAAGGGACGCAACTCTGCACCTTAGACGACTTGGCACCCACGGAATCATAGAAGGGATATTAACGCGTCGCCTTGTAACGTCGCATTGTCACGTTGCCCCAAACAAGCAAACAGTAACATGACATTTTGACCAATTGTTGTGGCCCTGTCGTGCTATTTTACCATTTCTTTTTTAGCAAAGGGCGTCAATATTGCATTGTTGCATTGTCTCCCCATATAAAATGAGCAAGATTATTGTGCGACAACGAAACAACGCGATATATTTGTTATGTTGCATTGTCGCGTTACCGCACATTTTAAAGCCTTTTTTGACACATTTTAGATGGGACGACAAAGCGACATATTTTGACCTTGAAAAATACGGGGATGTCGTCCCTTTGGTGAAAATCAGAATTTTTTAAAGCGCATTAATGCAACTATTGGTCAAAATATCGCGTAGTCGCGCTTTAGTTCATTTTGACAAGTTTGGCATGGCGCGACAATGTCTTTTCTAGAATTCCATAAAAGGTACTGCGCTCTACAAACAAGAGGATGTGGCATAGATTACAAACTGAAACCTCCTTAATCCGAACGGTATGGTTTTACGCACCCCCTAACAGTATTAGTACAGCGGCAATTTATCATAACGAGACCCTGTTGGCAATCAAACCCGCGTCTACTGTTTATAGAGGACGCGGTCTGTTTCCCGTCTAATAGTTTGTTGCAGTAAGTGCACTTCTTTTTCCGCAATATAGGGTGTCCGGACTAAAGAGGTTCTTCAGTGTTATTGTGACAACCTCTGATGAAACATATTGTCCAATATCCGATAGTCAAGATCTATATTGTAATGCATCAAACCACCTGAGCACCTTGATTAAAAACATAAAAAAGAATTTGCAAAATATCTGTCCAGCCAAAATGTAACTCCATACTTGCAGCCCAGTTCGGCAAGGTTGGAACTGCACAGTTAACTCCCTTGCCTCGGGAAGATGATTTATCGCTGGTTTTATATAGATCTCGAAGTATTTTACGTGCGCTTCTCTCAGTTGCAAATACTCTGAACATGTCCAATCATTGACACAAGGGTTAATTGTTCATACATTTCTAATGTCCTATGCTTGACTTTATGGCTTTGAATCCATATACAGGGAAAGTGAGTACAACGACGCCCTTTAGAAATAGTCCACCGCTGTCAGGACTGAGGACACAGAGAGTGGGCACCGAAGCTGTACCCATGTAAAAGTTTGAACCTGGAATTTCTGCGTGACGAGTGACACTCTAACTACTTGTGTACCCAGAATACCAGACAGGTACAGTGTGTGAGTGAATTATTCAATACATATCAGTCAGCAATATTTCACTTTCACGCCAAGGACTAATACACAGACTATGGAAATAAACTGCCAGACAAAAGAACAAAACACCCATAATTAATGTTAGCTTACACTGGTTATTTGATGTGACATATGGTGAGTGAGTATGGTTTTACGCCGCTTTTAGCAATATTCCAGCAATATCACGGCGGGGGTCACCAGAAATGGGCTTCACACATTGTACCCATGTCGGGAATCGAGCCCGGGTCTTCGGCGTGACGATCGAACGCTTTAACCACTAGGCTACCCGACCGCCCCGGTGACATATGTAAACGGATATCATAGTTGTGTTGTAGATCTTAAGTTTGCAGTGTTTCGGCAACTGTTTTCAGTCATCGATCACATCCAATTTTCAAGTGTATACTTTCTTTTGTCCGGCTGTTTATTTCAGCAACCATTTAATCTTACCTTTGCATCTGTTGTTTCGACATCAATGACATCTTTGTCTCCACGTGCACTTTCATCATCACTGACGTCATCGGCGAAACTCGCCCCTGTGTCAAGGTCATTCTTCTCCACGTCGATACTGCTGTCAGGTTCTGGAGTGGTTCTTCTCAGCTTCTTGACCGGCAACGGTTCCATATTCCCTAAGTCTGTACTGTCAGTGCTTGATTCAGGCTCGACATCTTTCTTGTTCGACACCTCAACATCATTCTTGTTCGCAAGCTCGACCTTCTCCGGAAAACATGGCTGTGACGGATGCGACGACATCGACATCATTGCTGATGATACTGGAGCCATGGCTGAAGGCGTTGTCAGAAGGTGGCCATCAGCCCAGTTCCTGGGAGCGGGGTAAGGGATATTCAAGGGGAGACAGGCACCGTGTCCTGGTAGCCCAAATTGTTCGGGTTTGCCACCATGAGCCGGGACGTTAAGAGGTGTTTGGAAATCCAATTTTCCTGGCCACGGATTGTTGTATGGGAGACTGAGCGATCTCAAGAAGTCGCCGTATGAGGTGATCCTTCCGAACATTGGGTTAGGGAAGGCTGAGTGTGTCCGGCTGGTTGGTGGGACGAAGGCACCAAAATAAGGATTACTACCTAGTCGTTGGAAGCGGGAATCAGCAGCACCAGCATCAGAAACTTCAGGCCGGGGCATGTACGACGACGACGACGACGACGACCTACTGCCACTGGAGAACCTCTTCCTACAACCGCCATTAAACATAGCTTTCACATCCTCCCATGCATGCATTAGTGTCTCAGATGGGTTGTCGTCCGCCAGAACAAGATGGCGGCGCCACGAATTAAAGTTGGCTGCATCTGGGTGCTTGTATTCTCCCCCTGCGAGTTTGTGATAATGGAATATGAACTTATTGGGCGAGAAGTAGGCGTCGCAGGTGAGGCACTTGATGCACTTTGCTCGAGAACTGTTATATCGGGAGGGCATAAAGAGTCCTTTGCTACCCCATCCACAAGCATGGCTCACTTTGAATGCAAAATCCTCGGGAAGTCTTGGTGGAGGAATGTCCTCAATGAAGGATTTAACTAGCCTCTCTGCTTCTCGTTTAGTGATGAGTCCACACCGTCGGGAGGACACGGGCATGGCCCCTGTGCGTCTGAGGATCTCAAGCTGCGAGGGAGAACACTGCATGCATGTAATGCCTAGGGCGACACGGCGGTTGTGGATCTCGTTGTAACTGAAATCCCGTAGGATCGTGTTGGAAATCTGAGCAAGACAGAGTCTTTCTTTATTGTCAATATATAAGCAAACAATAGGAACGCCGAACAACATCACCGTGCCGACACGATCCTCTCCTATTTGTTTCTCGGGTTTGTCCCCCTTGTCCCTTGGTGACGTCATTGCAAGCATTGGAGGTGAAGTGTCAAACAAGTTTAAAATATTCGAAGACTCGAGACTATCCTCGTGACTCTGAAGAAGGCCTCTGGAGCCAAACAGATCTGAATGCGGAAGAGAAAAAAAATCAGATTAAGAAGACTGACAGGGACGGGGGATGTTTTTACTGGTTATCGACATTATGTAAATCATAACTCCAACATAAAACCATACTCACTAACTCCCTCACTCACTCAACTGACGTTTTAACAGAGTGGGTTGTTGGCGGCTTGTAAATAATCGAGTCGAGGACAAGGAATACAAATGTTCAACAACATAAGCTGCGATCCGTGTTGTCGGGATAAAAAAAGCCAACATTATTCAGTCCTCACACTGTGACCTCCGAATCACCATTTATGACACGCATTGGGACCTAGGACCAAAACACAAAACACAAAAAAGGAGGCAGCGGGTCAGAATTATTTTTACTGTATCTGATATACGAATTAACATTTTGAAGACAATGAAACACGCAGATGCATACATGAATATGATAAATACACTAAATGCGTTCTCCCCTTATAACTGCCTGGTCCTGGTCCGAAATATGACACAGAGGCAGGGACCACAGGCTAAACGCGGGTAATCGGAGATAGTAATCCAACCATGTGTGAAGATTAGTCATTCAGATTGCAGGGGGGAAATTGTTTAAAGAAAAAGACAGATGTCTCATATACCCTTTTGTCACGCAGTGATGCAAAAGAGACGAGGTGTTCGTGGCAGGTTAATGAAAGGAGGCCAAAAACACCGGGTGTTATATTACAACTTTACCATGGATCATCGACATCGTTTGAGCGTCATAACAGCAGTGTCATTCATTCATTCATTCATTCATTCATTTAAATACTACTCATTTTTCTTTCTTTTCTTTTTCATTATTCTTTGTTTCAATGTCCTGTTCATTTGTCTTCCTCTATCATCTTTTTGATT